AAAGGTGAGCCATATCAACAGGCACTCTATGTGCGAAATCTCTTGCCAACGGTTGCCAAGCTCTTATTTGGCTATTATTCCTTTGTTTTCGCCTCGTCTTTCTTTAATTATAAAGCTACACGAAACCCGTCTCACACTCCGTTCCATACATATAAATATATATAGGTTTTTATAGCACTACTGCCAAAAAGTATGAGAAAAAAAAACATAACAAGGGAGATGTTGAGGGAAAACTCATATTCCCATTGGCATCAAATTGTCTGCACGACAAGGTAACAGAGTATTAAAAATTTCAGCACCAGCAACAGAATTTTCTGACCATCCTACGTCCGAGATATTTTCCGGGGCTTCTTTCCCTCCACGCCAACCCAGCCAGCTTTTCCAGAATTTCCCTAGCAACGCAAGCCGCTTAACGCAGCCAACTGCCAAATGTAAATATACTCCAACCCCAAACCGACAAAAAAAAAAAAAAAAAATATATAAAACTTTCTTAATAATACAACGAGCTGTGGGGGAGGGTAGTGGAAAAAAAAAGGCCCAGAAGGAGGAGAAAACTCAGTCCAAGGCGACGGCAGACCCGCGAGGAAAATTCGCATTGTTTTCAGCTTTTCAGCGCCCAAACAACAACCGAAAACGGAAAGCTGGGACTGCGAAATAAGTGGGCGTGGCATTTTGGGATTGGGCCTGCTGCGGGGCAGGCGAGGACAGGCATTTGGGAACTTAAAAACTTTGGCCATATCCCGCAGCTATGAACAACAGCAATCAATTTTCACATGCCGACGAACAAATGTGCCCCAACAGGATGTCCCCCAAAGTCGAAAAATAAAGGGGCAGAAGAAGCCTCGGAAAAGAAGTAGTTAAAATTATAATACTGGGCTATTATCCATTTGAGGGAAAGGGGGAAAAACCAAAAAGAGAGGCAGGCCACAGGATGTCATGGCATTTCTATTAGTTTTCTAATATTAATTAACTCTTTGAAGTGTTAAGTAAGGCGTTCTCGGAAAGAGATTTTCCTTAGAAATTTGAAACGCTATTCATTCTTTTTGTTTTATATTTCATTTTTATACTTTTTTTTAAGCATTATATAATATTTTTCCTATATTTTAAGTAATGTTGTAAACTGTGAAAAAGCTTCTTTAATCTAATTAAACCAAGTTTGGGAGATTGCCATAAAATTCCCGCTCTCATCTCATTGCGAAAAAGCCACCCTTTGACATTTTGTCCCTTGGCAGTAGTTTAGCGATGATGCCCGCCTTCATATTTGCCAAGCGCTTCACATCGAATCGCAATCATGGATAGATAGATGAAACAGGACTATATATACCCATATCAAGTAGCTAGAGGGGGGGGGGAGGGGTGGAAAGGGCGCCAAACGTTGATTAATTTCTCGTTTTTACGCCATTTTCTATTTGTCTTGTGCGGTAATTACGACAAGTCCTTGAAGCCCAGGATGGATGCCCAGATAGCTCAGATAGCCAGCCAACTTCCTGCCGCGTGTCCAAGATAAACATGAAAATTTCCCGAGTAACGGCAGAGTCCGGCAGTTCCGTTCTCCGACTGCTTCCGGTAATTGAATCAAATGAAGCAGCATTAGTATTAGCTTCTTATGGTCGGGTATCGTTGCGAAGATGCTTCCTCTGGCATAACTCTGTTTATTTTTGTAAATTAATTTTTAATTTAATGTACGTGTGGTGGGCGACGCGCTAGTTTCACGCCACGATGACTGTAGCGACAGGAAGTTGGCGTGGCCAAGGACCTACCCTGCCCGTTCAAGGCAAACAGTGAAAAAAAAGCCAAACAAAACAAAACAAAAGTGGAAAGCCAAACAGGAATAGGTGATTCGTTTGGGGAAGTTTGTATTCTCTAACAGGGAGTGTTATTATATGGGATTTGGGATTATATAGTAATAATCAGATAATGGTATATCCTTAAGAAGTATTTTGGATCTAAAGTTCTTAAGTCTTCTTCGATTTTAAATAAATTTTTAATATTTTTTTGTGAAAATAAATCACAAACTTAAAAACCTAAAAGAAAAATTCTAAAAAAATACGAGTTGATGTAAGTTTATGTTTTCAAAAACCTCTTTTTCTACATTTTTAGTTAATACTATGTTCCAGCCATTAAAAGATATAGATTAAAATTCCATTATTCTCCCAACAAATCATCACCCAAATAACTTTACCCACCGCAGATACCCTTAAACATCCCACAAAACCCACAGCAAGCACCCGAATGAAGAAAATCTACCCAAGACCAGTAGATGAAGTAAATAGTCCCTGGCCCCAGTTCCAGGCTCCACACTCAAATATAAAGTAAAGGAAAAGCAGTTTTCAGCTGGTCAGCAGGCTGTCGAAAAATAAAAGTAAAACAAAATGGAACGGCCAAGGCGGACTCGACGGTATAAAGCGAAAAGACGACGAAATACTTTTTCAAGATAAACGGAAACAAGCCAAGATGGAATTAATTTTCCGCTTTGAACAAACAAGCGGATGTAAATAAAAAAAAAAATGTAAAAAAAATAGCAAAACAACACACAAAAAAAAATGAACCAGGAACCAGCGGCAACCTAGAGAGAAACCAGCGAAGATGTCGACGTCAAAGTCAAAGGAGTTGGGGGGGGGCGGACCTTCAGAGGGGTGGCCCAAAGGAAGTATTCGCATCTTAGACGAAGTGGAAGGGGCAAAGAGGGCACAGAGGAGCGGTTAAACAGAAGCTACGTTGTCTGCCAAGTTTAGCAAGTTCAGTCTGGACACGGCCCGGCCCAACGTTATGTGCTGTTAATGACTGTACAAGAAGTTTAATTGTACGACTGCCTACAGGAAGGAAAGTAAATACACTTAAAGAAATACTAACAAATAAATATGTTAATATTAAAAGTCATAAATATAATCAAAAGCTTTTAGAAGGTTAAACTCTAGTTCTATATAAAAACTAATAAATCAGAAAAACCATTAAGACCTCATCTAACACACTTTTCTCTATGCACAACCGAGAACTGCGGAGGGGGAAAAACCAGTACGAGGTGTGAGTTGAAAGTAGATGGCTCCCAGATGGGCGTGTGTGTGTGGTAATGCCGCACACACACACGCATATTGACAAATTGCAATTTAAATAGACAGCAATAAGTTAAACAGACGCACACACACTCAACGCATTAACATTGGGTTGGCTATTTGGGGGTGGGCTTGTGGGAAGGCAGCCAAAAACACGCCACGTCTAATTAGTTTAGCACAGCGCTTGGGGAGATCTAGGGGTCAGGGGCATCTATCAGCTAGAGATGCTAGAGATGAGCAATAATTAGGCAAAAAGTTAATGCGATCAGGGAATTACAATGCGTTTAGCCATGGATATTCTGGCAAAAACAAGCGACATAAATTAGGGAGCAATGTCCAGGATAAATTATTAATAATGATAACATTATGGATGGAAATTTAGATATAGAAATGAGGGTTTTACGAATAATCTGAAAAAAATCACTTTTTGAGTGTGGTACATAGTTCGACGGGGAATTTAAATACGAACTCAACAAGATATAACATTCCATGATACGATCATCTTTAACTTTGTAATGAGGAAAATACTGATATTTTGAGACTCAAATCGGGACAGAGCGATTTTCGCATTTTTGGAAAGGGGTAACATCATAAAATTTTACGAAAAATCTGAAAAAATTCACTTTTTGAGTGTGGTACACAGTTCGACGGGGAATTTATATACGAACTCAACAAGATATAACATTCCATGATACGATCATCTATGGCTTTGTAATGAGGAAAATACTGATATTTTGAGACTCAAATCGGGACAGAGCGATTTTCGCATTTTTGGAAAGGGGTAACATCATAAAATTTTACGAATAATCTGAAAAAAATCACTTTTTGAGTGTGGTACATAGTTCGACGGGGAATTTAAATACGAACTCAACAAGATATAACATTCCATGATACGATCATCTATGGCTTTGTAATAAGGAAAATACTGATATTTTGAGACTCAAATCGGGACAGAGCGATTTTCGCATTTTTGGAAAGGGGTAACATCATAAAATTTTACGAAAAATCTGAAAAATTCACTTTTTGAGTGTGGTACACAGTTCGACGGGGAATTTAAATACGAACTCAACAAGATATAACATTCCATGATACGATCATCTATGGCTTTGTAATGAGGAAAATACTGATATTTTGAGACTCAAATCGGGACAGAGCGATTTTCGCATTTTTGGAAAGGGGTAACATCATAAAATTTTACGAAAAATCTGAAAAATGGACCAATAAATGTTAAACATTGTTTCTATTTAGTTACCACTTTGTTCAATTTGTATAGCTTACTTATTTGTTAGTCAACAAATTCGCCGCTCTCTATTTAACCCCTATAACATTCACATAGTCCGACCAAAAAAAAAGAAACTATAATTCTTCCAACAAACACGGCAATAACAACGAACAACGCTATAGTATACTAAGAGTTTTTTTAGTTTAAAATGTTTGTTAAATATAGCGAAATGTAAATATTTCGTAAATAATGTAGGGCTAAGCTCAAGATTCCTTAGCCATCTTTTAGCTAACTTTTCCTGCTAAAGACATTGCCCCATCTCTGATTACTCCAATATTACCTAGAATACCTAAAATATAGCCACCGTTATAATGCATTAATCCATTTTTTCGGCAGTCTCACCATTTACCCTCTTAACCCCCCATTTAGTTTCTATTTTGTCTAACTAAGATATCTGAGTCAGAGATGGTTTTCTTTGCTATTGTTGTTGTTGTTGTTTGTATGTGGCAAATATTGATGGAAACATTTACGCACACACGCACACAATTAAACACGTTTACACACGCTGATAAACAGCAGACACACACACACACTCACACATACACTCAAATAGAGATGAATAGAGGGTAAGTAGTAATTGATGAGTTTCCGTTTATGGTAACATCAATCATACGCACTGTATGCCAACACATTGCAATCAGATTAAACAAATAACTCTATAACTCTTACTCTTTACATCTGCCTTTATTTGCCAATACATTGTCATATTCTATCTAAGACTTATATACATAGAAATACTTTTATATATAATATTTTTGTAAAATCAAATCTCATGTTTCGGTATCCTGTATGGCAGCTACAGTTGCAGTTGTTTCAATTTCTTTGGGTTTCATGGCCAACGGTAGACTCTGTCTCTTGGTCCAGCAGAGAATATTCACCCAAATCAGACCACATACACCCATGTATATAACACGGAATCGTGGCGCCACCAATGAAAAGTTCAAGGCCTGGGCGGGCAACCAGAAAATGCAGGAACGTACGAAAGTCGGCACAAACTTCTCTCGCAATTCCAGGAAAGTATCCTCAGTGCCCTCCATCATGGACATGCCTGCAAGGATAGTAATTAAACTAGATTTTCAAGTTTTCCTTTACCATTTTTATAGTTTTTCGTTTATTTACCAGAACTATTACATATTAATGTCTTTATTTAATATTAAAAAAAAGTTTTAGAAATTTAAAAAATATTAAAACGATATTTAGTTTCAAGCTTTAAGGTTTAATATAACTATTTCAAAATCTTTGTTGATCAAATAAATGCAAATGAAATATTAGTTAGTAAAATATATAAATATTTTTTAGGAAATTTAAAAGCAAAAAACTTAAAAATGGCTTTCTTAAAAAGGTTTAAATAACAAACTTACCTGCATAAAACACAGTCAGTAGATAAGGCGTTAGAACAAACTGATCCAGAATCAATTTTTTAACTATTACAATTTTGGTAGTGCCAGGGAAAACGCGATCTAACCATTTGTACCTATGATTTTAATTAATTTAATTATTATATAACTTTTGTTGTTTAATGTTTGAGGTTATATAAGAAATGCAGAAGCAGGCAGGATGAGCAAGAATGTGTAGAGTATATAGAGTGCTTTTTATGTTAATTAGTGTGTTATTTTTATAGTCTTTCTTGTGTAAATATTTTTATTTCCTGAATATTTAGCAGTATCCATGTGTATGTTTACAGTTTCTTGATGATTCTCTTAAGAATATTATGTCTGTATAAGCATATATCCATATTTGTGTTTTCAGTGTCTTTGTGTTTGTATATCCTTGTATTGTGATTCCAGTTTTCTTATGTTTTGTGTATTAGACTTATGATCCTTTATAGTTTCTAGTTTCGTTCATACTTCATCATACTTAACTTACATTGCATTTTACATTTTATGGTCGTGCACATATGCCCATATTTTCATAGTGCGTTGCGTGCCTTTCTCGATAGCTTTTTTACTTCGTTTCTAGTCGAAGAGGTAAAGCTTTGTGCTCTGGTAGGCGGGTTGGTGCTTCTAAAGAGAAAGTGTGAAGAGAATGTGAGTGGCGAAGAGACATGCTCTTGACATTGCGACACGTGCTCATGGAGCTTTTACGAAATCGTAAACAAATTGATAAAAGACAAAAACAACAACAACAACAGAAGCGTACGGCAAAGCAAATTGAGGAAATAAAAAGAACGGTTAAATGGCGAGCATGTAAGTGTGAGTAAATTGACTGGTCCACCGATGTGTATGTGAGTGCAGACACAGCAAAGGTCAAGGTAATAGCTTTGATTGGTTTTTGATTGTACAAAAAAATTATCCTAAGAATGCTTAAATTTATATTTCTTAATTATTGTGATGGCATTTTAAACTAACTATTATCTTCTGTAAATAAAAACAAAATAAAGCAGCGCTATTACCTTGACCTCGTCTGTTTTTATATACAAAAAAGAAGAAACATAGAAATATGTATGTACATATGTACAGAGTTATTTATGTGGCGGGCACGAACCAAAAGTAAAGTGTTGGGGCATATACTGCAGTTCCCATCACGGCATATCTTCCTATTGTTGCATAATCGATATCCTCTCGTTGGGCCGCCGGCTACAAGTCACATAAATCCGATTAGATATCGCCAGATATGTCCCTCGAATATATAGTATATCCCATCTATTACTATATGTATATATATTAATAATATAACTTACGGCTAGCCAACGTTTGGATACAAATTGCTGGGAATATTCGGCGCCCACATACAGGCTCCCATAGATGGCGCTATTGGTCACAAACGGATAACGACGGAATAAAGTACGCACTCCCGAAATCAACCGAGACATTATCACTTGAATTTAATTTAATTTGTATTACTTTAAATTTATTAAAAAAAAAAAACACTTGTTTATATATGTTATGTTTTTTTTTTGGAAGCGGCCTGCCGCCTACGTTGACGGAGCTTTACTGAACAAAAATTCCAAACTATGGCCCAGCTGTTACAAAAGACAATCAGTGAAAAAAACAGAGAGAGCCAAACGGAGATAAAAAGAGAAAGAGTGTTAACTAAGAGAGAGTATAAATGTTTACATATTTCTCAATGCAGGCGGCAACAAGCTGGAAATCTTTAGATTAGTGACTTTTGTTGTTTAATAAAAGCTTAAAAATGCAGTTAAATTAGTGATATCTGTAGAGGGCTTATCATTCGTAAGAGATAAGATTTACTTTCTCAAAGCAATTTAAAAAAAAAAAACAGATAACCCACGGGCTAATCAAATTAAATCTTTAAAAACTTTTTTAACAAAAAAAAATTGTTAAAAAATATAAAATTAATTTATACACAAAAATAACTTGGTTTTTCTTTATAAAAATATGTTTTAATATAGAAGGTAAAGTAAAGGCGTAAGCTGTTATCGCTGAAAAGTAAGTAACAGGCGGCCATAAATTATAATAAATCACAAAATTTTATATAAATATGCATATAAAGCTGCAGTTTATTTATTTCAATTTTATTGCGACTTAGAGGTAAAAATGTCAAAATAAACTTTTTAAATTACATTTTAAGGGACAAAGTAAACTTTAAAAACTTTGAATTGCAATCAAAAACCGAAAAGATTATAATATTTCCACTTTTTTATTATTAGATATTCCTATTCCTATCCAACCAATTACAATATTTTAAAATGCAAACTGTGTGAACTGTAACATTCAATATACATCTACATATGAGAAAAAGTTTAGAGTAAGAAAGTCACATTTTCTCCCCATACACAATAACATTACAAAACATACATTTCTCCCTCTACCAGTATCAAAATTACCTCAATCAAGTTTAAAATACATATCCTTCAGTCCTACCTTAATCAAGGATATATGCAACTCTCTGTATCAGCAAAAAAAAAGAAGAAAAGCTGAGGGAAAAAACAAAACTTTTGCCTATAAAAATGCAATAAGTGTATCTTGGTCTTGGAAACCCTTTTTGGCTAATGGCAATTTACGCACGACTAACAAACACCAGAGGAAACCTGGGAAAAGTGTTGGGGAAAGCCGGGAAAGCCTTGAAAAACATATGCCAGGGTACGGAATCGGAGGCGGAGAAACGACAACTTTGATTGAGTGTCAAGGAAACTGAAGGCAAAGGTGTTAAAACTGAAACCAATTTAAAAAGTTGTACGAAACCATATGGAAAGTGAGCCAGGGAGGTAGCAACTTTTGGTTAGCTGGGAGTGTACTTAAAAAAAACAGGTAAGAAACTATTTTTACAACATGTTTAGCTATCTCTTCTCTAGAAATGATTTACATATTTTAGTGTAGTTATTATGTGGCAGAATCTACATTTTTAAGACTTTTAATCTAACGATGAATGGTCAACTAAGCGAGAAAAGTCTGTAAGCTTTAAGCCAATTCAATGCTCCCTTTTTCAATTTTGTAAACGTTTTTTAGATTGTAATAACTCCTTTTTAGAGGTGATTTTCCATTCCATATTTCCGCTTAGTGTACCTTACAAGTAGGCAGTCAATTACTGACAAACAAGCCAAGCACACAGCGCAGCACACACCTGAATATTTTCAGGGCCAGGTGACAAGGCGGAGACAACGACGACAGCGACACGAACTGGGAAAGGACCAAGGATGAACCTGAGTGCTATTCTGAGAAGTGTGAGCAACGGTCTAGGCTTTGGGGCCGCCACGAAGCGAAAGGATTTGAATCTCTCCTATCCGAGACCAATCTCGCGCTCCAGTTCTCCATTGAGCATTTCCTCGAAGAACTCCAATACTGATCCCGTTTCTGATCTTATAATTCCCTCTGAGGACGAAGAGGAAGTCACTCCGGCTGAGAATCGTCTGGCCTCGGCTGCTGCAAACCTGAATAAAACTCAAAGTCCCTATCAACAGACCATCCAGCAGATCTTGAGACTGGTCAACGAACTGGAGCATACGATTCATGAGGATCAGCGGCAAGAGTTTAAGCTACGAATGGCTCTTAATCGACAAACGGAACGGGTGGAGGAATTGGTATTTTCTCTGGATACGGAGAAGAAGAGAAATGGACGTCTAGTGCAGCTCCTTAAGGGAATTGATACGTCTAGTTCAGACGAAAGTGATCCAGGGGATAGAGTGAAGACCATTGGGGAATTGTATGATTCCATCAGTCCCTTACTAATGCAACAGCGGTGAGTAGAAAACTTACTACAAATTCTATATACTTATTATCCTTATTTAACCTTCAGGTACGATGAGCTCTCCGTGTCCCATCGCCAGAGTCGCCGGCAATTGGCAAAAAAGGAAAAAGCTCTGAAGGTCCTGAAATGCGAGACGGAGCAGTTGCACTCCAAGTACGATCAGCTTTTCGATGAATATCGAAGTGAACAGCGTCGCTTTGAGATGCTGTGCACCCGGTACATCCAGATGCAGTTGAAGAAGAAACAGGAAATCTTCAACCTAAAGAATACTCTTGGTCAAGCCAGTGAGTGTATCTTCCATGCCCAAGTGGCCATCGACGAGTGTTGTCATCGGGAAAAGTCACCCATATCCCCGGAAAATCTGCAAAACTTTAGCAGGAATCTCGAGTGCTTTATGGATGCCCTGAGGAATTGCTGTAGCTTGCGAAAAGTCCATGAACTCCAGCAGCAACAGCTACAAAAGGAAGAGGAAACTGAAAATCAGGTCACTGATGCCATCACCCCCAAGGCCAAAGAATCCTCGATCTCTAGTAGCGTCACTTATGTTCAGCATTTATCAAGTCGACATCCTCAAATCCGACGTCACAGACATTCAGCTCGTTGAACCATCACTTTTAGTTACATCTTAATGTTAGGTTTCTTGTGAATATTTTTAATTTATGAAAAATTGATTCATTTAGTGAAAAGTGTAAAAAATAAAAACAAAAAAAAAGTTTATAAACATATAAAAACCCACTAGTTTGTTGTCCAAAAGTAAACCATTTTTTAGATTTCAAAAACCACATTTAAACAGTTGCCTAGGAATTATCTGTCCAATTTTATTATTGCTCTTGCCCATATCGATCGATAAGGTGTAAATATATCTAGGACTGAGATATAAATATAGTCAAGATGTCGACACAAAGGCACCGATCTTCTGGGATCAGCGGAGATAGCCGTTCGGATGGTATGTCCCACAGCCTTAGTGAATCCGATGACGAACTTGAGTCCGGCAACGAAGTAAAACCGGCATCAGATGTTACCATCTTTAACTCCTATAACATGGGACCAGCTTTCGGCAAGAAGTTCCCATTGCCGCATATTCGTATCATAATTTCAGCAGTAATGAGTGAGAAACTGAGAAATAAGAACTATAATCAGTCGGAAGCCTTGAAATGGGCTCGCGATGTCGCCGACGAGATCAACATCAGAATGAAAGGCCGCGCAAGATGTCCTAGATACAAGCATGTGGTTAATGTAATGCTATATCCACAGACAGGAGCAGGATGCTTCTACGGAGCCCGAGCCATTTGGGATGAGCTGTCCGATGATTATGTGACCCATATCCACGATGGTGGCAGTTTCATATGTATAGCTGCCGTTTTTGGTTTATATCAGTATTAAGTTCAAGTTTATGTATGGACTAGAAAAAACAAGAAAATTGTACAGTATTATAAAGCAGAATAAAAAATTCTCACAAACTTTCAAGGTCAAAATAAAATGGGAATCTTATTATATATAGTAATATTAGCGTTTACAATAGATCCGGGGAAATTTTTTTTAAATTAGTATGAAAGTGAAAGGTATTAAAGTGTGACGAAACATTTTTTATTTATGAAAATATTTATATATTTTCCTTTTATTATTTTATGTAAAGATTACAACGGAAATTTATTGAACTAAAATTTTCCTCGAAAAATTTGAATTATAGTGCTGCCACTAAGTCTTTGGAACAGTGTGACCACACACAAAACGTGTTACAATCAGCTGACATCAACCCAGTACGGCAGCACTTTCACACGCACATGTTTATGTTTACGTTCCCATTTCACTGGTAATTTTATTTTTACACCGCAAAAAAGTCAAATAAATGCTGTAAGGATGAAGGTGAAGATGATTAGTCGCAATCCCGACAATTATGTCAGGGAAACCAAACTGCAGCAGCACAAAAGTGAGTAGAAATAAGCGGGAAAATGCTGATTAAACACGCATGCCATTTCCAGTGCCCCGTAACTACGATCCTGCGCTGCATCCTTTGGAGGGTCCCAGGGAATATGTCCGTGCACTGAATGCCACCAAATTGGACCGAGTGTTTGCTAAACCTTTTGTTTGCAACTTAAGCGGACATCGCGATGGAATCTCTTGTTTTGGAAAGCATCCGAAACAACTTTCCAGTCTGGCCACCGGCGCTTATGACGGCGAAGTACGCATTTGGGATTTGGCAAACCGCACCAGCTCGCGGCATTTCGTTGCCCATGATGGCTTTGTTCGTGGGATTGCTTATACCAAGGATGGAAATAGCATATTTACTGTGGGCGATGACAAAACCATCAAGGTTTGGAAGGGAGAGGCTCCGGAAGTCGGAGAGGAAGAGATGCCAGTAAACACCATATTAAGTAAATTTGGTCTTCACGGCATTTCACATAATCGCAACGATGACAAATTTGCCACCTGTGGAGAGGTGTGCGCCATTTGGGATGAGAAGCATAACGATCCCCTGAAAACTTTGAAGTGGGGCGTCGATACCCTACACACCATCTCCTACAATCCCGTAGAAACGAGTCTACTGGCTTGTTGTGCTAGTGACCGCAGCATTATCCTTTATGATCAAAGGGAGGCGCAGCCCTTGAGGAAGGTAGTCCTTACCATGAAGAGCAACAAGTTGGCGTGGAATCCCATGAGTGCGTTTAATTTCACAGTGGCCAACGAGGATTGCAAGTGAGTAAAATCAACTAAATTACATGGTAAATTCATTAATAGCGTAGTTTCGTTAAATTCATTAATAACTTTTTCTATCCTTTAAATTTGTTTATAACCTATATCAAAACCTTTTTTCATCTTCAGTCTATACACCTTTGATACCCGTAAACTGCAAACGCCTCTGAAGGTGCACTTTGACCATGTTTCTGCCGTCACCGATGTGGACTACTCGCCCACAGGAAAGGAATTTGTTTCATCCAGTTACGATAAAACCATTCGGCTCTACAATGCCCACCACAGCCACTCTCGGGATATTTACCACACCAAACGCATGCAGCATGTAGTTTGTGTAGCCTGGTCTCTGGATAATCGATATGTCTTCTCCGGCTCTGACGAGATGAACATACGCATGTGGAAGGCAAATGCCTCCGAGAAACTGGGCGTCATACGTCCTCGTGAGCGTGTCAATTTCAATTACCAGGAGGCCCTGAAGCAGAAGTTTGCCGCTCATCCGCAGATCAAGCGAATCGCACGCCATCGCCAGGTACCGCGTCACGTGCTCAATGCACAGAAGAAGATGCGCACGGTCAAGGAAAAGGAGCAGGTCAAGGAGGCCAATGTGCGCAAGCACTCCAAGAAGGGCACGGTGCCTTACGTCAGCGAAAAAAAGAAGCATGTCCTAAAGGAGGAGGTCTAAAGACGATTTTTTATGGATGTAGTTGGATAAGTTTGAATAAAATTGATTTTTTAAGAATAACCGATGTTTTTGTTAAAGCAGTTCCTGATGCTTTCATTATTATTAGCCTCGTTCTTATATAAGGTGTTCTTTGGCTATTATTTATAAGTGAACAGTATAAATGAACAAAGGGCTCAGAAGTAATATTAACTTTCTTTTAACTTGTTGACGAACCAAATATGAGACATTCCCACTAAATAGTTCAGGTTAAACCAACAAGAAGGCAAATATTACTTCTTAAATTTGCCACCCTAGATTAACATTCCACTAGCTCGCCATGTTGTAACGCTTCAAGCAAGTTCGAAATAAAATTTGTATCCGATAAGCCCTTAGCCGCGCGATAACGATGCAGAGAATCGGGAAGACGTGTCCATTTCTAGGCGATTTTCGATTATAAAAGGTTGACATCCCCACCAATGGGGCTCAGTATTTGTTCGTTTGTTGTTACGGCAGCCGCCAGTCGGTCGTTAGTTTTTGTTTTCGTTGTTCATTTGTTTATACTCTCGCGGCACTTGGCCCCCCTCCCGTACTCGTAGAACCCGTTTGAAAGGCAAAATATACAATCCATAGAAATCATGGACGCACTGGGGGATCTATTGGCGCCTTATAGCGAACTAATTGCTAAGGTAGCCGGCACAATTACTACCCTGCAATTTCTGTCAGGAGTGGTGCTGATGAACGACATCCGGAAGAAGGGTAGCAGTGACATCTATCCCGTGGGTCCATTTCTCGGTGGAGTGGTGCTGTAAGTTCATCAAATTGACTTAGAAAGTGTAGCATTAAGTGGGTTTTCGTGATGCTCCAATGAATGTGACATGTAAGGGGGTCAAAAAGAAAAAAAAACAAATGCCAGTGCATCTGTGTGGGAATTGATTAAATTTTTGAACTGTCGCCATGACACTACAGAATCGGCTCTCTTCAAGGCCGCTACTAAATCGGTTTTGCACTCGATTCAATAAGATAACAATGGAATCGGTTACATCACCCGATGGCAAAAAAGGGAAATCCATTTTGATCATCTTCGACCGTTACATTTTGAATTTTTGGGGTTCAGATTTCGTTAACCTTCCCATCGTTACCGGTGGTAATCTTTGGCTTCTTATCGATGTGAGGCCTCGACAAACACGTAATTCTTATCTTGAGTGTATAATTTTAGAGCTTCGTATTATGAATTCTGATCCGGTATAGTCTGTCCAAACGTGGGAGAGCCTGCAGCTAATCGTTTATGAGACAGGCGAAAGATAGGCGACTTGCCTTCTCCACGTGCTCGGAATAAAGGGGGTGTCCGATTCTAGGGGGTGGTTTCTAGTGATGAGAAAATCTGACTAGTTGTACCTATGTTTAAACTATAATCTTCTATAATTATCATGTGTTATGACTGTTAGAATTCAAAAAGAAAAGTTCAACTTTATATTTACAGATTTTCCTTGACTTCGAGTAATATTATTTTATATAAAAATGGTAGTTTTGAAATAGTTTCCATTAGTTCAGTTTATATACAAGTACATAAATACACACATAAACGCATAGCTTATCAATAATATTATTGATAATTTACTACTTTCATTATCAATGATAATTTTCGACTACTTAGGTGTCATATTTATTTTCTGTCATCATTTTTTATTACTCAGAGATATGTAGTGGTGGGAAATTTTTATAAAATACAAGTGAAACACTTCGGAATGCAGAAAGCTATTTACATATATGTAACTTTTAAAGCGTAAAAATTCCATTGTTTACTTGGAAAGCTAAAAATATTTAATAATATTGGCTGCAATAATGTACCCAAGTTCAGCAAGAAACAGTCATATGGTACTTTTGCCATCACTGCTGACCGTTTAGGGGGTGTTTTCCGGAAGGTGTTAACTTGGACTGTGTCAAGTGTAAGGACCCGCAGACATGCAAGCGAAGCAACAGTTGTATGCTAAATGAATTCCATGGCAAACAAGGTGTAGGTCAAGGGCAATTCCCCGGCCAGTTTGCATTGAATTTCATACAAAACGATTGTATTTCACCATTGTAGTGGGTTTTATGATAACAATGATCGATGGTATCGCTGACTATTTGCTATTCTTATCAATGGCTACGTGTACCATGATTTGCAAATCATTTTTATGTTTATATATCTATATCTGCATAGCTTTTGAACTGATCAAATAATTAATAGATTTACAGGTTGGTATCAAACGGGTTTATTCAATGAACCCGCAGAGGGAAATGGTAATTTGAATGGTCAGTGGAGCACTCAAAATGAAAACTTGTTCTATTTCCGTAGGTATGAACTTTCTGTAAAGATTTAATGATGGAAAAACTGGTTTGCTACCTTAGGAATTTCATTAAATCATATGGTTTATGAGAAAATATGTTGCATTCTAGGCAGATATACGAATATTGCAATTTTCATTCGGAATTACTTTTATTTAAAGGAAGGAAATAAATCAAAGAAATTTAATTCGTTTGCATTTGTTTTCTGCTTAAAGAATTTTCTTTGAAAGAATACCTTTCCCCATATTAATATATTTCCTTCCCCATTCCAGGACCGTACTCAGCTTAAAGCTGGCAAACATAATGAACGATGCTGCCATGATCAATACAAATCTGATTGGTCTGGTTATTAACTTTGCCTTCCTATTCGGATTTTACTACTACGCCTCCAGCGGAAGCAGGAGCAATATCTGGAAGCAGATTGGCTACTCCTCGGTGTTCCTATTGGTCATTACTACATACGCCAACTTCGAGGATCCCGCCAAGATTGAGTTCCGACTGGGAATGCTGATCACTGGCATTCTGGTTTGGTTGGTGGGTTCTCCACTCCTGCATCTCCCCAAAATCATTAAAAAGAAGAGCACCGAGGGAATGCCGTTCCCAATTATCTTCGCTGGTAATCTAGTGGCTGGTTCCTGGATGTTATACGCTATTTCCATCAAGAATACTGTGATGGTGGTAAGTAGAAATTGCTATTAATATTATGTTTAAAATACGGTTTCTATGGAAAAACGTGATAGAAAACAATAATATATAGAGATTTAGTACAAGACATGCACTAACCGGTACATCTTAAATTTCAGTTCCAGAATCTATTGCTGTTTGTCCTGAGCGGCATTCAGCTCTCCATGTTTGTTTTCTTCCCCAACAAACCAGCTGCTAAGCCCAAGGATAGCAAGAAGGATAAATAATTGAAATCGATCGCTTTACCTAGAAAAATGGACAAATAATGGGTTGTTGCAACAACATTACCAAGTAATATGTAGTTAGGCTCGAGGAATAATCAAATTATTGCTTGAATTTACACTAAATCGCCACAAGAAAACTAAATTTGAGCTAGACGAATTATTTTTCTATATAAGAAATATTTTCTTAGAATAAATCCAGCTAACTAAGTTGCTAGCTTACCTAGAATTGTTATTATATTGACTATTATTGTATATAACTACTACATACTTGCAATTTTTGACAATAATTCAAATCTTCCAAATGCATACGTATTTATAAAGTCAACATAATATGTAATAATAATAAAAAATCTGTTACAATCGAGTTAATCAAATGGGTATCATTTGGATCTCTTATTAAGATCTCAGGCTACTGGCACTGTGGAGTTGTAGTGGGCACCCAGTTGATAAATGTGACGGTGGTAGCAGATGACCAGTGGTGATCCACCGAATTCTTCTTGTCCCAGTAGTGTAGGTGCCCCTTCTGCTTGGATAACTTCAATGGGAACCCGAAGCAGTGAAGATATAGCTTTCAGTTCGATGTGTCCGCCCCAGGCGTGAGTTTTTGCTATATCATGGCAGTACTTTTCAAATTGCTGGTCGTTCAGGAGGTCCCCGGTATCTGGGTCAACCATATAGGCGATAAGGGAGTCCTTGTGAGCACGAACATAATTGGCCGTCTCCTCCCGCAACTCCTGAACACTGTGACCTGGAAAATTATAATTAGGAATTAGCTTTTATGTGTAATGGGGAATAGTAACCGAGGTATTACCTGGAAGCGCATTTACTAGAAGTTGGTGTCTAATGGACTGATATAAGCAATCGCCATCGGAGGCTATGTTATGGAGGGATAGTTGACGTTGGGAGAGCTTTGTGGTAATCTGTTGGAGCTCGATTAATTTGGGTGTTGGCTGATTGGCGGCGTTTTGAAGCTCTATTTTGATCTCCGCCTCACGTTCACGGGCCTCCTTGGCTTTCTTATCACGGCGTTTTTGGGCCTTGGACACACGCTGATTGGAGGGCAGGTCATCCTCTTCCTTTTCCTCGATTTCATCCTCATTTGGCACTGTTTTTTTCGCATTGTCCACTGATCTCGGGACTTCCTTTTCTGCTGGCACATCCTTGGCTTCCGCCGCCAGCAGTTCCGCCTTGTGACGCTGGTCCAGTTCGCCTTCTAATCGAGCCATCTCCTCAAGGAACTCCTTTCTCTTGTTTTTATTGTTTTTTGGAGCATTCTTCTTCATGGCCTGTAATTTTGCCTGCAATTCCTTGCGCTCGCGGCGATGCCGAGCACTTATATCCTCCAGACTCACATCTTCCAAGCGGGTTTCCAGCTCTTCAATTGCCTCGTTTCCGGATGACATTACGATTTATTTGATAATTAACAAAAATATTTAAGTGCTAAATAAATTTTCGGCTTTGGTGTGGCCAAATTTTGCCAGCAGGCAGTGTGGCTACATCATGGCCGTTAAAATATACCAGGAAAATGGAAATATACTAAATTTAATTTAAATGTTTTTCAAATATGAATTCAAAGTTCAATCTTTAGGTAATACTTTGTTAATAAGCTAAGAAAAAACAAAAATAAAATACAAAATCGTTTTAGGAAAGAGGTTTGGTGTTCATACCGAAACGGTATAAAAATATGCTTATAAATATTTACATAACAACGAAATTTAAATATGAATTACTTTTGAGTAGCTTTAAAACTACACAGAAAACATGCCTTAACCCCCACTATTTATAAAACAAAAGGAAAACAATTATTTGCATGCTGAATTTTTTATTTATGCTAAACATAGAACAATCTAGAATGAGAAACTAAATACATGCGATGCCAGAGGCGAGAAATCAGCTCAACCAATTTCTACTTTGGATATTACTAAATCTTAACTAGAGTTCACAAAGTAAAATCAAATTTTTTTTAATATATATACAGGCAATTATTGTGAGCTGAATTACAACAATGAGTGAAACCAAAATGGATTTATAAATTTGATGTCAATCTGAACCTTATTATTTATACAATTCACAAGAGTGTTGATTTTAAAAACTGGCAAGCAAACCAGATGATACGTTTCTTACAACTCTATAACACATTCTTAAGTGCAAATCAGAAATCGTATTATTTACATTGGCCAACGGCGACGACTCTTAATTTACTTCATTTACACGCGTATTAAAAAAGCAGAAACTAATCCTTGACTTTCCACAGCATAGGCTACCTAACTACTAACTTCCAAAGTGATATTTACTTAGCCACTAACCGAAAACTAAGCAAGTTTCTCATCTCACCTCGTCTACAGATATCATCAATCTATTTATCATCTAGTGTGATTTTGCCTATGTCCATGTACAAAAGGAAGCACTGGCTATCTAGGAATTACCAAAGAGCAGGCTATTTCTCTCTTTTGATCGCTGGATCCTTTTTAGAGGCTCTTGGTAATATTTTGGAACAGGCGACGTCCCCACCACGATTCCAGATCGAACGGCTTGAAGTCCTGCAGCACTGGACTCGGCGGCTCCACCCAAACAGTTGCTGTCGAGGATGCGTGTACCGGCGTATTGGCGATGATGCTCTCCACCGGGCTGGCCGCGTTGTTGTTGTTGGCATCTGCCACCGGTTTATCGACGGGCTTGGCGGTTGCGCTTGAGTCGTAGGGATTCTTTGCTACCAGCATGTTCCAGGCTGATAAAAAATTGAAGATTTTAAATTTTATTTCTTTAAAATTAACAAGCTCAATAGAAAATGAGATCCTCGATTACGATCCCTTATCTTTCTAGTTCGAAAAGTAAAATCATCAATCAAACTTACAATCATTTATGTAACGTATAATTTCCTCATGCTGCGGCGTTATCACCTCATCCTCGATCAGTTTGGTCGGCGTTATCCGCTTGGAGGCGAAGCTCTGTTGAAACACCGGACGCGGTATGCTGTTTTTAAAAATGAAAAAAGGAACATCGCATGTTAATAAAGATGCCTTTAAATTTCCATCACAAAGCACTTATGCAAACCACACAGCTATACTAAAACATGTGGAATTCGAAAATAAATCACTTAAGGAATAAGGTGGGGGAAAATGGGTTCGACAACTTGGAACTCAGTTCGAGGAACGTTAAATGCATTTAAATTGGTAAGAGGGTGCGAGTGCAACGCTTTCAGTTAATCGATTCCGGAAAACATTATTTTTATATAAAAATCTTTTTTTGTTTGGTTTGTACAATATTATCTTGATTTCCCTACTAAATTAAGTCGTATTACAGAATGGTTTTTATTATATTGACATTGAAAGCTGATAAGTAGATATCACACTAGGTCTAACAGATAGATTTGTTATGTGCAGATTTAATTCTTATTTAACCTAAAGTATGATACTAATTTATTTCTTAGGAAGATTAGTTTTAAGGTAGGAAATGTCATTGCCTCCAAATATATATATATATATATTTTTAGAGTACATGAAATCACGTATTTATATGGGGAGAGGATCGACAATGGGTGCTGATAACCTATCTACAGTGGGAGATAGTTAACAGTACTCATCTATTGATTGACAAGGTTTATTATTTTGATAAGGGATTTTAGAGAAAATTAACTATTTAAGTTTCTCAGTACATAAAACTTAAAATATGTCAACATAACTTTTAGATGAAAATTTAAAAAATACGTAATTCATATAATGTTATATGAAGCGAAGAATAATAAAGAATAAAAGGTTGTTGATATGAATATTTTGAAAACAAATTTTTGTTATGTATCCGCATCTATAATTGAGTACCGAGAATATTTTGTGATGTAATGCCCTTGAAAAAAGATACATTTATCATCCGCACGATGTCTGTGTTAAAAAAAAAACCGCTTATATCAGAGCCAAAAAAGATAAAAGGCGACAAAAACTAATTGATAAAACTGTCCCCTAGAAAAGTCTAGAAAAGTATAAAAATGCAACCTATTTTTTCGGGATATTAAAGAATTTAAAGCTTTTGTTTTACATAGCCTTTTGCCAAGTATGCCCGAGAAGTTCAGTTAAAGTCGTGACGTAACGGGCGCGGAAAAGTCAATGCCTCCGGGGCATTTAAATTAAAATCAAGCCGATAACCGACGTCTGACCCACGTGTTTCCAACGGGTCTCCTAGGGAGAATAAGGCTATTTGCTTGGGAGCAATTAGCATTACAGTGCTAGGTCGCCACGGATTCTTGCGATAAAATGTCAGCGATAAGACGAGGGTCTCGAACCGGCCCCTTCAACATTTCTTCCCCCGACACTTTCCCGCTTTCCACATTTTCACCATGTGCTGTTCTGTTTGCATAAGCATTGAGACAGTTTCAGTTTCTTACTTTTTGTGCTCCTCGGGACTGTTCAGATCAAAACTGGCGTTCTTTCGGCCGCTCTCCTTGATGCTTTCAAATTTTTCAAAATTTTGTGCCAGGCCTGCGATGAAAAGAAGATGATAAAACGCTATAAAAAAATGTATTTACAGTGGAAAATGCCGGCAAAACAAAAAGTTAACAGAGCTATAGAGAGCGTGAGCGAAAGATAAGGGAGAGAGTGGGCGGCAAAGAGAGAATGAAAAAGAGTATGTTTTGTGACATAACAGCTGGGCAGAGCTTTGCTCTTACAAAGGGTTTAATGTACCATTATTAACCATTATTAATATTATTATTATTATTTTGTACTCACCGCGACGCGTTTTAGCAACGATTTTGCTGGGTCCCTTGTTGATTGTGTACATGGTGGAGATATTGAACAATACCAGGGCAAAATATGTTGTATATATTTTGTCCTTTCGATTTTCGTAATGTTGTTTTCGTTTCTGGCAAACGAAATGTTTTGCGGACTGCTATGTTTTTTTTAGGTTTTCTTCCACTTTTTGCAATCATATGATCAAAGGCAACCCACCCGCGTCGCCTTCTTTTGGTCTATTGTCATCGTCTCGAAAGGTTACACAATACACTTGTATGATGATTCCGATGCCGATTCCAATTCCGCGCTCTTTTGATTTATGGGCACCGCAAATTTTCAATTAATTTCGATCTAAATCACCGACAATTGCTCCTGGAAAGCAGTGTGTTTTATAACGTTTCTATGCGGCGGTCGAAGCTCCAATGCAAGAGCTCCATTCAAATCGCATAACGAAATGTTAAGAGAGACACCCGCTAAGCGTCATATGTTAAAGCGTTTATGCGGACTAGTACGCGATGTTCGGGAAAACAAAAAACTCCTATTGCTTGAAATTATATGTAAAACCTTTATTTACAAAATATTTATTTGTATTGTATTTTTACTGGATTAAGCGATATAATTTTTAGGAATGTAACTGACGGTTTTGTATATACTTACATTAATATGACACAAATCACATAAACGATTCACGTATAAACTGTATAATAGTTACACGTGCATAGATACCATATGATTGCGCGAGTGTGTGCACACTCTACGAAAAATAAATTCATTTTACCTGCGCGCGTTAATTTAAATTTATTTTAGTTGATTAGGGGACAATCGCTACATTACTTGCAATTTACTCTAGTAAATCAAAAGGAGTATTAATATCGGTTTAATGCTATTTCAAAATGTAATCGGTTTAGAAAACGTATTTAAAAAGAAGCTTTATCTTATTTTTGCTGTTTTTTGTTTAAAAGATTCTGACAGCGGATTACAAGTATTCTTTTTTCGATTCGCGACATCTGTTTTTAGAAGTTTCAAAGTCGTTATCCTAGAGTTCGGAAAACGTCGCGCGATCTTTGGAGTTTTTACTAATCCAAGTCCATGCAACTGCGAATATCTAAAGACAGACTTTATGACGCCGGACTAAAACCCATTACCCATACAAGTTTTTGCTACCTGTGGGCGTAATTCTGAGCGCATTAAAAAGGGATTAGCGAGAATTTTCGGCGGAAAATTTAATTACAAGCAGGTAATGTCATAAAAGTGACAGATGCCTAAAACGGATAAGTAGTATTTTCCGCACAGATATTTATGACAGTTCTGAAATTGCACACACATCTAGTGAATATAAAAAGGGTCGGGGGGCAAAAGGGAATCAGTAGCAAGCCAGCAACGTCCAGCTTCACATTAACTTCCTGATCAAACAAAGCAATCATGTCGACCAACGAAACCAACCAAGTGCTGCAGCGTCTAAACAGCCTAAAAATCGTGGAAACCCCCAAGGAGCCACGAGAGTTGGGCAGCCGGCAGTGCTATTCCCTGGACAACAAGAAGTTCTCCATAGTTCCAGCCACCCCCAGCACTGGAGGGCTTGGAAAGTTCCAAACCGAACTCAAAAAACGCCGCAAAAATAAATTTAACCGCATGTCTACTTACGAGGCCGACAAACATTTTATCAAGGCACGCAAATCATTGAATTTCTAATCATAATACGCCTCGATGTAATCACCTTAGTCATAAGCATCATTGATTTTAAATCGTACAACTGATATATTTGTTCACGCTCTAATCTTACTATACAAATAAATTTTGAATATTATAAGTTTCGCGCCTTTTACTGCTATATCGATATGTGGTTAATAAATTTGGTTGCGGTCACACTGCTGATTCTGCACCTGGCAACGCTGGCGGTCAGCTGTTCTTGCGGCGAAGAGGCGAATTTGGAGTGCGGATGCACAAAACGTCATTAAAAACACAAAATAAATACGAAATATTGCACAAATTACAGTAATTATATAGAAGAACACAAACTATTTAAGATGGCAGACATTGCGGCAACCAACGAGGGAAATTCAAACAGTAGTGAACCTATAATAGAGCATCAGCAGCCAACGCCGGAATATTTACAGAGAAAAATATATTTCCTGGTAGATCAACTTCGCAATTTCCATTCCGAACTTCCAGAGTAAGTGTTTAAATTCACTTTAACTAAAGATTATTTAATCTTCTGTATTTCCAGAAACCTACAGACACGTATTTCCTACGATTTACTCACAGAACTCGCTAATTGTGTTTTAAATGAGGGGATTTTTGTGATAGTTAAGGCTTTGATGGAATTGCAACACGAAACTGAAAGACATTTGATTAAAATGCGAATGCAGGCGGAAAATGAGTATGAAATTGAGGTGGACGAATGGAAAAGAAAAATCAAGGATCCCGAGGAGCTGCACCACATTTTGGGTTTAATGAAAATCAAGCACACCAAGAAACTAATGGAGTCGGACAAGAAGATTATTGAAATTCTAGATCAAAAGGTGAAAGGTTAAAACTTATATATCTTCATAAGTTCTATCAAACTTTTCTGTATGCTCATATCGTTTCTAATGATAAATTGAACAATTGCTATCATTAAGAAGTAATTTTTAGCCCATAAACCCTTTGGTTACAACTCATAGAGCGCGTGTAAGAATATGACTAGAATATCTCAAAAACCATAATCAAAAGGTAAACTCAATTAGATAGGTGTACTTTTGTAGTTAGATGATTTTGACTACACAGATTTTTATTGATTTATAATGGTAGACGTATCATAAAATATTTATATTCAGCTTTAGGGATATTAGTCATTATAAAAGATGTGGTTCTTTTGGAAATATCTGAAATTTATCTTTAATGCACACTCAGAAATTTGCATTTGAGTCTGGAATTTTTTTAATCTATAACTTTTGTTTACCCAGGTTAACGATCAACAATCCACACTGCAAAAGGCCGGCGTTCCCGGTTTTTATGTCACCGAGAATCCCAAGGAGATCAAAATACAAATGTTCCTGCTGGATTTCATTCTGCGTCTGAGTCGATTGAAATACGAGCCCGGCAAATAACAGTTAATTATAAATCCGGAGACCACAAAAGACTGCACTTGACTTGTTCAAATTAGAATATTAAAGGCAATTAAAATTATTAACCCTGATCAAATGTTCCCAGCTGTACGATCCATTGTGGGTCCAAGAAACCTGTAGAACGCTGCGCAGTTTTAATCAGCAAAGAATCGGTGCGAGGGAGAAAAGAGATGGGGGCAGAGCCAAAAGACGGCTGAAGAGCGGGAGAATTGATAAAGATAGCGTGGCTCTCTCTTTTTGCGTAGAAAGCGGGAGAGGCGGTGGTATAAATTAGACCGACCTTTCTGCAGATGCATCAGTTGTGCTTTAAATTTTAAAAGTAACACATTAAGTTAATAAAAAGAAATAGTGAAAAATATGTCTCTGACTATTACAACAACAGTCTCGCATCCTGAGCTCAAGGATCTGGTGAGTATTTCATCTGAGCAAGTGTGATTTGTAAAATATCCTGTGAACTGTGATTTTATTCGAAATGTCCTGATAGAAAGAAGTTTTTAAAAATTTCCTTTAAAAAGTGTAAAAATATTTTTTTTAATTTGAGCAATTGAATTCTACTGCTTTTCTTATGATTAGTTAATTTTTTTAGAACAATACAACAACAACAATCAATAAATATCATTGTTTTAAATTTAACAAAAACTACAAATGCGATCCAGATTACTTAGATGTGGTGTACATAATTAGTAATTCAAGACGTTTGAAGTTGTTTGAACTTTTACAAGGTCGAGTGGCCAATTTTTTAATGCTTAGTCATAAAAGCGAGTTTCCGTCATCCAATGCTCAGAATAATTATAAGCTTATGCGAACTTTTTGTTGGCAAGAGGAATTTGATTTGTTTTGGCCAGGTTTAGTTGCCTCCCAACAGTTGAGCAGTTTACACATAATGTTTTCGCGGTTGTTTCGTAATTTCAAGGCAAGTTTAAAGCAGCATTAAAAATAGTAATTTAAATCAATTCAAAACTACCCAACTAACTCTTTAGTTAGTTATTACTAAAACAAATAGAATCCTCAACTAGTAACGACTTTTACTTTCCTTGAAACACTTTTTCTATTGACCTTGATTTTGAAATTGATTTTGCAATTGTGTGTGGCAAAGATACTGAGAGAGAGTCTGTTAAATCAGCTGTTCAACAGCTGCAACTGCATGGCGAAGAGAGAAAAAATCATAAAAGAGAGTTGTAAAAAGAGAGCTCAAAGTGCATGACTTTGCTGACGCCAGCAGACGCGAACAAAGCCCCCAAAATAAAATAACTTAAAAATAAGTCAAATTTTAAGTTATTTTTGTTCATAAAATGCGCTGCTTGCCGGGCTATGGCTACGGCCTTACCTTTTTGTTTCTGGTGTGAACTAAATACAAATATATAGCCTAAAAAATATAGAAATCCGGTAGCTCATACTCACAAATCTGGTTCTTCTTCTTCTTACAGAGCACCGTTCGCAATGAACAAAAGGAACTGAGTATTTCTCCGGTTCATGAAGTGAATATCACCAAAGCCACTGCCACTTTTGGCATGGGCTGCTTTTGGGGCGCCGAGTCCTTGTATGGAGCCACCCGTGGTGTCCTAAGGACCACCGTGGGCTATGCTGGCGGCAGCTCGGATTTGCCAACGTACCGTAAAATGTAAGAGAGCAGAGCAAGAGCATTAATCATCCATCTTTTTTTTTTGTTTTCCTTCAAAATCCCTACATGTTCCATACCTTTATCCATTCGGAACTCCGGTACTAACTCCACAACCAATCTCAACAGGGGTGATCATACTGAGGTACTGGAAATCGACTATGATCCCAATGTCATTAGCTTCAAGGAGCTGTTGGATCTGTTCTGGAACAACCATGAATACGGACTGACCACGCCTATTAAGAAGCAGTATGCTTCTTTGATTTTGTACCATGATGAGGAGCAGAAACAGGTGGCACATGCCTCCAAATTGGAGGAACAAGAGCGTCGGGCACCTGAGATTATCACCACTGAGATTGCATCCAAAGAGAACTTTTACCCAGCCGAGGCGTAAGTTAAAACTGTGGATGCCTAAATAACCAGATGTTAATTGCCTAATTTTCTTATAGGTACCATCAAAAGTACAGATTGCAGGGTCACAAGGACCTCGCCACCTCACTGAATCTCAATCCCAAGCTGCTGCAGACCAGCTATGTGGCCACCAAATTGAATGGCTATCTGGCCGGAGTCGGTGGCATTGATCAGTTCAAGGCAGAGGTCGAGACCATGGGCCTTACGCCCACCCAACGGCAGTACTGCAACTACCACGTGGAGCAAAACGAGGGCCAGGGTCTTTACTGCTGACATGGTCGAATGTGCATAGACGTTAAGCGTAGATCGTACACCTAGGGGGGTAATTTTAATCAATAGTTTGCTTGTTCAAAACAGATTGTGTATTATGTAGACTTAGGAAAAATATAAAATATATATGAAAATCGTATATTTTATTATAATAATAAAAAACATCTAAAAGTGAAGTTTATGAACTTGTTTTTGGGTGGAGTTACAATTAAAGTTCTAATAAATCAAATCTGAAGATGTGTAAAACCAAAATTTCGTATTAAATCCCACCATTAAGGCAATGAACTTGGTTTTGGAGAAATTTGAAGTCACTTTCCTCCATCTGAACGATAAAAAATTCTGCAAATACAGATGTGCTTATGACGTGCTAATACCAGCAAGTATTATTATTCAACTTGATCCTCTTGATGTGCAAAAACAACAGCTGTGATAACTCAAATAATAATCTGGGATGATAAACAGCTTGCAAGTCATATTAAGTTCCTGTCCAGGATCCTGCCTTATCTACAGTCAACACTCCGATAATAAATTCGCTGGGTCATCTGTTTATTCAACTTTAATGAGTTTGCTTTGCTGTCAAGATCTGATCGAAATTCTGCTGAAATATGGATGTGTTTCTATTATAGAGATGGAATGTATTTATATAATTAATAAGAAATAAATCTTAAGGTTATTAATCTACCCCTGACCAGTAAAAATAAATTCCTTTGCTAAGAATGGCAAAGCAATAAATTTCCTTCAAGGAAAGTAAAGTGACTGACCTCAAGAGTTTCGCCATTCTTATAAATAGTATTAGATTTCCTGTATCTTATGCATACATATAAAGAAAGTACAGCCATTAGAAGTATCTGAATGAATCGCTCGAATCTATAAATTGCGAAAACTATCAGTAGCTTAGTCTAATCTTAAACGGTTGGGTAGTTTACACTTAATTTGAGTGTCTATAAATTACGGACTGGAGTGACTAGCACTAATTGATTGAAAATAGAAAGAAATGTGCATTTCATAAGCTATGATCTGATTAGGGGAAATGTCACAAGTGGTTTTTATATTTAGTTCGTTTTATTAGATCACCAAAATGTAGTGGAATTTTGAAGGAAATTTAAGAATTCGATTTTATATGTTCATACATAACTTTTAACATACATACATACTTATGTATCTCTAAGATAAAATTATATATTTAGATTTAAGCGTTAAGAAAACAAATGGTTTTTAAAGGTCTTTGTTGTTCTTGATTAAACCGATCTATTCTAATATTTAAAGATTCGAATGATAGTAGAAACCATGTAAAAGATTATGGTATAAAATAATTATCAACTTTAAAAATGCCTGGAAAGTTTTTAAAATTTTTAGTATATATCTCTTATGTTAACTATGAGACCTATAAGATACATACATGTATCCTATCCAGACCTTCAACCCAAATTTCAACAGATTTGACCGCTCTTTGTTGTTTTTGATTAGGTGAGAGATTGCGAGAGAGAGAGCACATGTTGTACCCACTATCTCTTCCTTTAACCCACTCCCCTCCCCTGGAAAGCAGAAACAACTATCACACATATGGAGCTCTTTTGCTCTAGCTCTCTCTTAGCCGCTCTCACTGACCGCCCCCTCTTGCGGTTCATCTCTCCCGCACCAACGCAAGCCGGTTCGCCGCGTGTTTGGCGATAAGTCAAATTAAACGGGCAAATATAGCGAAGCACTTTTTGTTTACAGCGAATGAAAGATTTAAAATGTTTTTTGTTAAATCATTTCTATATGAAAGAGTGCATGGAATCGGCTAAAAACCGGTCAACCCGTAGCTCTCCAACTAAAGTATCTGATTTTTCAAAAATCATAAAAATCGAAGCATATCCTAAGGACTGACAAACTTGTGCGATTTAAGGCTTTTCTAATGAAGTTATTAACATAATTTTTTACCAGTTTATAGCTTAGACCCTAACCCATCGACTGACCAAATTTGAAACAAAAATGTTGATTAATTTGGCTTTGGCGAATTTTACAAGATTTTCTGTTATAAGCTCGCACCGGCAAGAAGAAGAGCTGCCTTCAGTAGACGCGCTATAGACGTAACAACAACAAATCATCAATAGTTGTTGACGGCGACGAACTAGCTTTCATAGCATTTGTTCGCACGGGTTGATAATAGTTTATTCGATTTGAATGGGAAATAGGGGAAATGAGAAATGGGCAATGGGAGGTACATGTGTATCAATGGGTCGGAAAATATATAGTTGCACAAGATCTTTTTAGTGTTCAAAAGGGAAAGGTCATTGGGTCTTCTTCTATATATAATCGCAGTGATTTGCAGTATTTAATGCGTAGAAATTGAACTCAGCCTATTTTGCAAATCATTTTGTTTGGAATATTTAATTCATTCTATCTAAATTAATTTAATACTATGATTGAGGAGATTTCACAAACTAAAAGTCATTGTTTCTGATAATCTGGAAATGTTGATTAATATAAATAATATTATTGAAAAAATCAAATCTGTCGAAGGACATGCATGTTATTTACCTTTTTAAAGATTCATATACATACATACATATGTATATATTTTAATATATTTTATACACATACAAATTAATTAAGATCTTATTAAAACTCAATTGTTATTGTCATTAAATATCTAAACTAACTTGAACCTCATTGAAGTTTAAAATAATAATAACGAACTTTTTGTATGACAAAAAAGTCAGTGAACTAGAAAAATCTAACATAAACTTTTCCTACCAAATTACTTTTTACTGCTCATAAAATCATTAGGTAATCCCTTTAAGGATCATAGACCCATTTCATCATTAGGTTTAATCGTTGCTAGGCTGAGTTAAGACTGCCAAGGGTAAAACTATATAGATAGGCTAGAAGGCTAAATTCACTTAATCTTCAAGTTGAAAGAAATCGTCTAGCACTTAAAAGGCAAAGAAAGCCCAAACGTTGTCACAGACATTTCAGATCATTAACCTGATTGGCTAAAATCATAAAGATTAAATAGTTTGCCGGGTAGGAAAATTTTCTTCTACAATTAAAGGGCTTAACTGACATATTACCAAATGATATTCGGAGTTCCAATAATGTTCAAAATTATTTTAGTAAATAAAATTTAATATTTTTTAATGTTGTTAGAATTGTCATTTTAACTTAATATTTGCCTTGTGCGATAAACCTGCTTATAATTCCACATTTGTACCTAAAAATATAAATTTTTTATAACGCTATACAAAACCAAAATGTATATAACACAAATTCACATTGTGTCTACATTTATTGTATCTACATAATTTGTACTGAAGGTTCGTGCATTGGCTAAATAATATTTAAATACAGTATTTAAGTACATTTAAGTATTTTTCGATCAAAAGTTTTTGTTATTATTACTTATTAATCTCAAATTCATACCCATTATTCGTTGAGTAAAGGGGTATTGAGTATTTGTTGAAAAGTATGTAACATGTAGAAGAAAAAGTTTGCAGCCTTATAAAGTATATGTATAAATCCTTGATCAAGATCAATAGCCGAGTCTGTTTAACCATGTCCTTTACTTTGTCCTTCTTTCCGTATGAAGGCTAGGATCCTACCAACTATAAATGATGGAAAGTTTAGATTTAACATCCTGAATCTAGAAACTCCTGCGCAGCTCATGCAAATTAGAAATACTACAAGTATTTTATTAGAAACATTTGGGCTAGAAAAATGATAATATTATAAATTGGTTTAGAGAGTAACTAGAGTGTGATATGCGCTCAACTCGCTTATAGCGTTTCCTGTCGCTCCCTATGTGTTATCTCTAATCATCTGCTTTTAACTCAGTTGAAAACAAGACGCAGTGGAGGCAATACGACTTGCGGTCGGAATAAAAAAATACAAAATAGACCAAATTTTAATGGAAACATCTAGAAATATTATAGATTTACCAGTGGAACTTATAGATCGAATATTCAAAAATCTAGAAGAAAGTGATCAATGTCATCTAGCCCATAGTCATCCTTTTCTTCGGAACTGTTTTATTTATCATGTTGGAAATCGATACAGCAATGTTATTTCCTCTTTATGTTTTAAAAATTGGAAGACTATTTTGCCAGTCTGTGGATCAACAGTTCATCATATTGTAGAAGAGTTTCACATATTAGATGAGTCATTGATGAGATTAATTGAACAGCATTGCATTAATTTGGAAAGTATACAAATCGGTATTAATCGCCGGAACTACCGTAGGGTTAAGACCTTTTTGGATAATCTGAAATCATTGAGTTCGGTAAGATTGTGGGTAGAATGTGCTGTCACGGAAAGAATGTTTTCTGTTTTAAGGGAAATAAAACATCTAAAGGGTTTGGAATTTCTTCGATATTCTAGATCATATTGTAAGTATGGTAAAAACCCAAGAAAATAGCTGATTATGAAATGTTTTTTTTTTCTATTTTATTTAGCAAAGCAAATTTCAAATTTTGGCCAACTGGAACATCTAGCCATAACTATTAACGAATATAGGTTAAAAGTGGATGTATTAGAATGGTGTTATGGATTGCAGAATCTACGTTCTCTTAAACTGGATGGCATGGATTATTGGCGTTCAAATTATGAATGTACTGAGATTATTGCCTTGGAAGAGCTTGAAGTACGTGACTGTGATGTCTCTTATAAATGGCCAATTTTTCACAACCTAAAAACATTAAACGCGCATTCCGATAAATCTTTAGCAACTATTCAATTTGCTATAAGGCATTCAAAATCGTTAGAAAAGCTAATATTAAGCTACGCATATGACTCTAATTTGTTTGATTTATTAAATGGCTGCAAGAATCTACGTTACTTGGAAATACAACAGCTCAGTATGCAAATCAATAAGGAAGAATTGATACTTATGATTGAAATATTGAAGAAGAATGGTGTCACCCAACAAAACCCATTTACACTTAAGCTTGACCCAATTATGAATCATATTGGAGCGTTGGTGGGTTAGATTAACATTATCTCAATTATGCAATATTCATTAAATTGTTCACATTTTTGTTTGTTTTTTGTTTTGTTTGCAGTTGCTGGAAATTCCCGGTTCAGAGATTGTACATTTTCTAAGTAATAAGAAATTACTTGATTCCGAAACTAAATAAATCTAAAACTAAATAATTTCGATCAAATTTGTTGATTTTTTATTTTTAATTGAGAATTATTTATTCCTTTTGCTTATAAGAACAAATATAAAAAACAATAAAACATTTTTAAATTAAATTTTAAATAAATAAAAATAAGGCATATTAAATGTTACCTATCTGTTTTTATTATTAATAAATTCAACGAAAATCTATTGTTATTATAAATGATTAAATTATAATAATATATACGAATAAAGTCATAGTCATAAAATTAATCATCGCTTAAAGTCTCCAAAAAAGCTTTTCCTTATCATCTTATTATTCAAAACAGAATTTTTTGACAGTTCAGAAGTGCCCTCCGTACCAAACAGTTCGCAGTTAATAACAGTAAATTGTAAAAAGTCCTTAAAGTGCTTAAAGTTCCTTGAACCTATAGAAATTGTTGTAATTTCCCTGGGGAAATATTAGATATTTCCCCTTTTTAATAAGATATTTTTTTCAAGATGTCTGGCAACCTCTTAAACAAAAGACACGTAATGGAAGCCCCAAGAAACATAGATTTTCAAATGGATATTTTAAAACAAATATTCGATAATCTGGACGAATTGGAAGAAGTTAGTTTATTGCCATCCAACTCAATTCTTAGACACGCTCTGACTTTTCATGCTAGTAAACGATTTGAAAAACTTATTTCGCTGTATCCTTTTATAAACTACTATTATGTTGGGATTTTACAAAAATGCGGATCATTAGTTCGCTGTTTTAAGAATGTAGGTCATGATTTAGATGATTACTCACTCATATTAATTGAAAAGTATTGCACTAATTTACAAAGCATGTATCTAAACATGAACGAGAAAAATTGTGCAAGAATAAAGAGATTTATAAGCAACTTTAAAACGCTAAAATCGGTGGAAATTATAGTAACAAGTGTTGCCACGCCAGAAATCCTAAATGCGTTAAAAGATATACAAAATCTTAGAAGTTTGAAATTACTTAAATTTGTTGGAAACGAAGGTGGGTTGGAAAAATCATATAGTAACATAAACTATATACTAATCATTTTTTCTATATTCCAGCTGAAGGAATACATTATTTGTTAGGTCTGGAAAATCTATCACTTGCTGCACATATCCAAACCACAACAATTAATGTTTTTGATTTGTGTTCACCTTTAAAAAATCTGCGTTCTTTGTCACTTGCTGGCTTTCGAGATTGTCAACCTAATACGGAAAACCATGAATTTACCTTAGAAGAACTTAAAATAGGAGCTGGCTGTGCTATCAATGCAAATTGGCCTTGTTTTCCTCGTCTAAAAACCATATCAGCTAGATTTTCTAGTTACTCATTGACGCCTGGACGAGAGGAATGGATTTTAAAGCATTCAGAGACTTTGGAAAAACTAATTTTGAGCTCTGGCATAACCAGAAAACAGTTCATAAATATATTAAAATCATGCAAAAATCTAAGCTATATGGAAATGCAACTGTTTGGAATGATAATGGATATAACATTTGTCATCGAAATTATAAATATATTAAAAGACAAAGGATTCACAGCTCAAAAACCATTTAAAATTTACCTCAACGATCTCACGACTCAGTTTAAAGATTTGGTGAGTTTTTGATTGAAAAGTTTAGATAAATGAAAAATAATATTATATATATTTTTTATAGTTGGTGGATACTCCAGACTCGAATATTATCAGCATACCAAGTCCTAACGAGATATTCGGTTTATAATATAGTATTATTTACTAATTTTTCATTATTTTATTCTCATTTCTTGAATGTAACTTTGATAAAAATTGTCGTATAGGCGATGATGTCATTACTATAATATTTATGTGATAAAAAATGTTATTCATTTGTTTTCATTGATGTAAATGAATTAAACTTTCGTCAGATGATTTTCATTATTAACGAAATTATGTCATTTTTAAGGAAGTTTATATATTTTAAGTTTATCATTGTGTAACTTTTTATAGGAAAGTCATAAGACTATTAAGATTAACGTTTTACTGTTTGCTTATATTCCAAATTTCTAGCAGATTATTTAGAATATTTCATAAATATTAATATTACTTTGTAATATTTTATTACAAAATATAAAAGAAACACCAGCCTGCATAATGTGAAATATTTAATTTTTGCATAATTCACAGAGAAAGAAAAACTTATATAAAGGGCTTGCTTAGAACAAAAAAGATTTATTCCATTTTTGAAATTTATAAAACTAAATACTGCCATGCCATTGCTGTGCCTTTTTGTTTTATTTTTGGGTGAGTCAAATTAAAAAGAGTTATACATAGTTATTGATTTACGTTTAGTTTTAGTTTTAGCAGGCTTTATAAAAAAAAATAAAAAAAAGAACGTAGAATGCCTAGATACATGCCATCGACGAATTGATGTTCATTGGGCAACCGATGGATTCTGCTACCACACCCATTTGAACCCTTGTTTGCTGGAGCTTCAGTCATGCTATCGCCAAGGAAGAGGATTGCCAGGTATTTAAGCAAGCTAATTAGTTTAAAATAAATTAAGAAAGTTTTGTTTTTAGATTTTGTCTTAATTGTAAAAGGAAATCGCAGATGGGATAGACCCAAGTGTGAGCATTTCAAGTTTTGATAGGCAGTTGTTAATGAAAAGGTTAAAATGTTAAAAATAAAATATATATATATAAAAAAAATTTTATATATATACAAAAAATTTTCAAAAAAATAACAAAGTGGGGATGACAAGAAAAATGATTTGTAATATTTTTAAAATATTTTTTTTATAATATTTTCCCATCCAAGAAAACACAAAACAAACAGAAAACGTTTATGCACTTTTTAATTTCTTAATTTTTATTTATGGCACAGAAAGTATAAATAATGTAACCATAGCATACTTGGCAGAACTTAAAAATAAAACTTAAAGTAAAGCATACAACAGGGAAGCACTTTGATTTCAGAACACAAACAATTTTCCGATCGATTATATTCTCAAATTAAGACGTTTTTGCGGCCTCATTAGTTCCTTTTCCGCTCTATCCTTGCGCATCCTGAGCACTTCCTCACCCCGTAGCTCCTTTAGCCTGCGAGGCGATATATTCCCTTTGAAGTCAACTTTATATTCAATTTTTGGCGATCGGCGATTTATCACAAAACTGGAGTCATTCATAAACAACTTTTGCTGACGTAAACGCACACAACGCTTTGGAGTTTCGGATACCTCCTCGTTCCCAGGAACCTGGTCGTCGTTGCCCTCTATTGTTAGCACTTCCTTGAACATATGCTCGACGGCCGAGAAGTACAACGTGGTATCGGAGGTCATTGTGAACCTGATGCTGGCGACTAACTGAGCTGAAAAATTGATTGAAGCCAGTCAGGGGACGAGTTTTGAAATGCATTTGCACAGACCACCAGACCTTGGGCACTTTTCAACCCTCAACGAGGTCCCTTGGCTACCTACCTGATCCTTAACAATGGTATACAGAAAACTCGGAAAACAGCTGGAGAGGCAGCCTATTCTGGACTGAGGTAATGAGGGGTTTCCCTGCTGGTAAACCCTCATCTTGACACCATCCATGCATAGTTCATGTGAAGTTTTCTTACTAAAGAAATCATAAGTAAATATTTTGAATTTAGTTTTTGAACAACTTTAAGAATTATCTTAGCTTAAAGTTCTTGGTTTTATTTCAGTTTATGCATCGGAAATAGTAACTATTACCCTAAGTTCTTTGACACATGCGAACAGATAAGCTAAAAGCAATAAGGTGAATCACTTTTTACGCCATAATTTTATTATCAACCGGCAAATACCCAATTTTTTTTAAAAACGCACAAATTGCTCATTGAGTTGAGACCCAAAAAGTATCTATAGATAAGGAGAAATCCCCATTACGAGCATCCGATTCGATAAGATTAAATAAAGTATTGGACAGTTTTGGTTTTGGTTTCGTTTCGTTTCGTTTTTTTACTGAATTATTATTAATTTATATAGCCTATTATAGTTTAAATTCATATCCACAGCTTAGTACTCCTTATTAAAGTAGTCGCGTATGCTGCGCTTCACAATGGGCGCCATTTTAGCGACCTGATTCTGCACTTCGGCCGTATCCTTATCCTTGTGATAGTAGACAGTGAAGTAGACAATCAGGCCGATAACCACGACCATGAGGAGCGCAGAGAACACGATGCTCAGGAGCATCTTGCAGGCGCACGAACAGCAGCTGAAAAGATATAGAAACTGGGTTAGTAAAGTTGAAAAGTTTGCTTTCAGCAAATTGATCAAAGTAATATTATAGAAATAGCAAGCTTAATATTCTCTTTTATGGTTAATAGATTATCTAAAAATCTTGGCTAAAGCTTATAATTTTAGTCAGAATCACTATATTAACAGTTTTATATAGTCATTTAATCAAAAAACAAATCAATAGCGATCAATGAGTCAGAAATCGATGGAAACTTACCAGCAAACCACTTTGCCGGGACATTTCAGGCATTCACAGAGAGCGTTGCACATGGTGATGGGTTAATGTACTATCAGTTTCAGTGGGTTAAGGTATTCTACCGATTCTCGATGCGTTGTTGACCAACACAATTTATCAACTGAAGGGGTGTAACAGCCATCGACCGCATTTTGGGGCGACAGGTATTGAAAGCTTTAATCATATCGGAAGAAACAAAAACAAAAAAACAATAAACTGATAACGAGGTTGGCTATAATTAACACGAAAGTGAAAAAGAGATAGAACGAGAGAAAGAGAGATAATGGTAGTATATAGAGCTTACACTCTTTCCATATGAATATGATATCACTTAGATCTAGTAATTTGACCATCCCGGCGTTTTATCACGAAATATAGGATAACGAGAATTTTCAAAACCGTTATAGAAACACAAAATAGTATTGCATTACGAAGGTTCCAGCACATGATCTTTGGAAATTTCAAGGAATTTTGGAAATCAAGTATAATCGTAATACTGCAAATATATTTGAAACAAGAAAAAGAGTACTATTGTAATCGCGATAATACCGACAATAATTATAATTAAACGTCGCTGTAAGCACATTATTTTCTACATTCAATCGAATTTACAAATAATTTCTAAGAGACTAAGAATTTGATTAAGGTGGCAAAGGTAGATGAATCATAATAATATGGAGCAAAGGGGGCAGACAAACAGACAGTCCGTGACAAAGACAAATGATTTTGGTCGGGAAGAGATAATGGGCAAACGTTCCAGATTGATTAAAGACAAAAATCAACAATCTAGCAATTAGGGGGAGGTTTTTCCCAAAACCTCTAGTATTCTATTTTCGTCTAATTACTGAGCAGGAAGTAATATAAATTGTTATCATTGATAAAACCATGGTAGAAACTTTCTTGTATTGCTTCTCAAATCGAAAACTAAGAATGTTTTTTGTGTTGAGGATTTAGTAATCTTTACCGAAAAACCTATTAACTGATAAAGGAGGGCTGTCAGTTAAGCTACAAATACCTAGAAGAGTGCTTGAAATACTCAGAAACTAACGCTATAGGGGATTTTTTAGGTAACCTTATCTGTATTATTCAGCCATAACAATTGACAAAGAAGTGACTATATTTGTAAGAGCAAATATTTTACTTTTATAATCATAAAGAAATTCCACTTTTATTTAACAAGTCTAGTAGTGGCTAAGTGGTTTGAGCTTCTCCTAAAAATTCACATTAAATTTGTAAATTTAAAAAAAAAAAAAGTTGCTCAACTTTTTATAGCCATCAAGGACTTACCAACAAATAACTTTGCCAGGACATTTCAGGCATTCACAGAGAACGTTGCACATGATGTTAGAAGACGCGGGTTAAAGTTTTTCCGGACTTAGACGTCTTCTTGACCAACTCAAATGGATAACTGACACTTTCAGTTCTATTTTCCTCATGTTGGTGCGAAAAGTATGAAAAGCTTTCGTCATATTTATGGAAAAAGAGAGAATCTGATAAAGATTCTATCATAAACAATCCAGAGAGAGATATTGGAAAGTAAAGCTGGTTTTTCTTCGTTGTAGGAGAAGATTCTTTGGGGATCTTATGGCTTGTTATCTTTACTTACGATTTTATAAGAAAAAATATATTAAATATCTGTTCTATTTTAATTATTAAAATTTAAGAGAAATTTAATAGTCATCATAGATTAAACTAAGTTAATACAAATGCACCTAAAATGGAAAGCTAATCAACGTTTGAACCCAAATTCTTAGGGGGTTTACACTAGGTTTTTGGTCTTAACGAAAATAAAATCGTTATGCCTGTCAAGAAAGCAGAAAAGCTTTGATAAGGTTTTATAGAGGTTTAGCTAAAGAAATATGAGTTTAAACTAAGTGCTTTAAATAATCAATTAAGGTAGGTTGAGTGACCAAGTTCATAGTTTTTAGGAAGCAGTAAGTTGACAAAATATTTGTTTGCAAAAATAATAAAAATATTATGTATAAATATAGATAAATGTTATAAAAAGCAATAATTTCTCTAATTAACAAAGTATTTTCCTAACTTTTCACTTAAATGACTCATAGAAATGGTTATAACCAATTCAGTTCTTTCGCTTGGGGCCGTAAGTAAATAGAGAAAAACCCACATTGGGGACGAACCATTAATGCAGGTCGCCGATATTCGGATTTTTTAACGACACCCGATACCAACTGCTGATGTAGACAATTCGATGGACTTCTTTGGCCACTTACAACGTAAGCAGACCTCTAGTTCTAAGCTCAGTGCCAATTCGCGTTCAAAGATGGTCATACAATATATCCTCAGCTCGGGATTTTTGTTAGTTACTTTAGCTTTGGCCACAGAAGCCTGGCTGTTGTCCCAATCAGGCTTGAACGAATCCAGTTACCTAGTCCGTCATCTGTCAATGCATTTTCCGCGAGTGTTTCTTAGCGTAAATGTGGAAAATAATGAATCGCCCACTCTGATCGAAGCTCAATGGCCGGTTACATATTTTCCCATGCCCACTGTGGTCTTTCCGCACGTTGATGTTCATGCCAATGGCGACCATGACGATTGCTCGTTGGTGCAGCAGGCCCACTGGTCCCAGGTGGATGCACTGAGTCGTCTGTGGGTCATGGACATCGGATTTCCAGGCAGCAGGTGCTCGCCCAGGTTATTCGTATTCGATCTGATGCGTAACAATGCAGAGTTACTGAGAATCGATTGTGGCCAATATATAGGAGCTAATGACACTCAATCTCTGGTTGTCCAAATGGGGCCTAAGGGTCCAGGCTGTCAGCATGAGCGGCACATTTACTTCATCCTGGGGCAGGAAGCTGAAATTCTTGCCTACGACATCCTGGAACAGACCTGGCTTATTCGATCATTGGAGAGTTATAAGTACGAGAACATGAATCAATCCTTTCCCATTAAGCCTGTGGATTTTACTTTTGGCATACAAGGAGAACTCATTCTCTCCGACCAGGATGGTGAGCTATACAGCACAGTGAATAGGCTGGAAGTTGAAGGGAAGAATGCATTAGAAAGCAATTCAATTACGGATTACATCAAACTCACCCATTTGGGTAGTCTTCTGGGCAGTAGTCGCAGCATGATCATCGATAATTTTGGAACTTTGTACTATGTAATTCCCAAATTTGGAGCTGTTGTACGATGTGCCAAACTAGCCCGCAACATTACAGCCGAGGGCAATGAAATCATCTATATCACATCGAAAAACATTCAGCAGATATTTTTCAGCTCCAACGATGCTCTATGGGTGCTAAGTGATCGGGTCCTAAATACAAAGGACATGTGCTTTCCTAGCTTATAGTAAATAAATACAAACGTAAATAATTAAATTAACTTAAATATAAATCCAAAATGCACAACTCGGTGTATATGTTTTGTTTATTATTCGTTTCCTCTGGCTTGGTGATGTAACTCGTTTGGTTTGATAATAATAATGCTATGAATAGTTAATGGACCAAAAACAATTAAATTAATGGCTAACAGTTTGCTTATTCAGATAACCCATTAAGGCTTGCAGCCGCTTCTTGATGTTCTTCTGATCATCCAAAGTACAGCCGAGCAGAACGCTCTCGAATTTCTTATCGATAGGCCCAACATCGGCCTCGGGCAAGGTGTCCATATGTCCGGATGGATCCATTGAGCTGCTGCAGCAGGCATTTAAGTACAACTGGCATCGTTGGCGTGCGATCACGGGATCACCCATTTTTATCATGGTATCGATCAATGCATTAATGTGACTAAGGGAGTCCTCCTGGGAATTGTCCCGCACAGTGCGCACATTTAGCTCCACAGTGCCCAAGCGTGAGCTAACACGTTGAATGTACAACATAATCTCCTCACGTTCAGCTGCAAGGAAAGAGTAGAACAAGTTAGTAAAACAAAAACTTAAACAAAATGGGGTAGTGATCTAAAATGTTCAAAAACACTTCTTACCCTCGGTCATGTTCTGCATCATTTCGTTGCTCTTGATTAGATCCATGGACATCAAGAGGTAGTCTTTCTTCTCCTGCAAATTAAGGGCATCCTTGCGCAACTTCTCGACACGTGCATCCAACTGGTCCAGTATGTTGACGAACCTGCAAGTCATTCAAGAATATTAGTCATATTTATTGATAATTAAACCACAAGGTTTACCTCTCGCTGGCGTTATATGGTCTGTCACATGTTGGTTAGGTGTTGTTGCGATTCAGTGGTTAAGTCATGAAAAGAAACGAGCAACGTTAGATGGTTAGATCGCTCGGCTACATATCGACTGACCACTTATAGAGCTAAGAAATTATAGCCAGAATAGGTCTACAAAAGAGGCGCTCGCACACAAAGCTCTATTTGGAGTTGTGTGGGCGATCGCAGCAGATACTTTAAGCTATCACCATTATTGTTATGGAACAAAAGAATCGAATGAAGCTGGTAGCTGGGTAGTGTGAAGAAATAATAGATAAGAAACTAATAAGTTTTGTTTCACTACGTGGATGGATATTTTTTTTCAGTTTGTTTCTGTGTCGTGTCTGATTTGGTTTTTTTTTAGTTAGGATGGAATAACAACCTGTCCAGGGCTCTACTGTCGTCGACGAGTCCATAGGAGCTGTTCCCGCCATTGCCACCAACTCCGGATCCGGCCGTTGATGAGGAGGCCATGGCGCCAGCCCGCAGATCTTGCAAATAATCGAAATTCATTGATGACTCCGAATGGTAGGCACTGGGCGAGATCTGCTGCAGATGGGGATAAAGCTGATGATGATGATTCTGGAGATGATTATCGCTGGTTTGCTGCGCTGTTGGCGCATCAACTTCCATATCCTGCGGCTGATCCAGATTTGATATAAACCTGTCGCCCTTCGAAAGATCCGGACAGGTGTTTATAGCCCAAGATGGTTGACTGCCTACTGTATCTTATTGTTTTTTTTTTTTTTCGTTTTCGTTTGAGCTACTTTTTTGGAATGTCTTAAGCTTTTTTTTCGAGTGGGTGTCGAAGTGTTTGACGCTGTTGCTTATTTAGCTTAATTTTATGTTTCTGAAGCTGCAATAAGAGAGAAAGAGGGAGCGTGAATGCGAGGAATACAATTACCTATCTGTTTGTGGACTGTGAAAAGAAGCATCCGACCAGGAGATCTCATAGGACTCTGGCGACTCGATTTCTATATCATCCGGATATCGAGATATTATCACTGGCGGCGCGACTTTAATATCATCCGGATAACGGGGTATTATCACTGGGACCTCAGTGGACGGCGATGGTGATGATGGTGGGGGCGTGTCCGTCTCGCAGCGACGTCGTTTGCGAAAAATACCGCGTAAATTCTCAAACATTCTCGATTGAACCGAAAAATTTTCTCTAGAATATTCTAACCAATTCTTGGGATTTCTTATGGCAGCTGTTCTCTAAAAGAAACGCTGATGGCTGTTGTGGATTTGCATAGATTACCTGCCACCGGAATCTTGAAAATCCGATTTTAATGCCCCTTCTGCCCGTTACAAATGTATTGTTGATTTTCCGACTTTGGCAGTTTCAGTTATATGACGGCAAAATTTGTTTGCTGTGAGATTTGTTGTGTGCTCCGTTTGTTCATATCCTCAGTTTCATTTTAGGGAGCACCTCGATTGTTTACTTCTATGGCAGATCGAACATTTCGCTTTGCTTATATATAGGATAAGTATAAATATGATTAATTTAACATTATTTGTGGGATTTGTGGGACCGTTAATGGTAAACCGAAAAATAACAGTGCCAAAACTTTATACAATATATCGATAGCCCATGACATCGGTCAGTGTGTACACATACGTTTCGGGTTCATGTATTCTATCGGCGGGAAGTTAAAATTATGCAATTATTTCTTTAGGAAATGTAAAATTTAAACATTATCTGATAAGCAGAATAAAGTATTTTCTAAAATCCAATTTAACATTTTTTGTAACTTGTTACAGTATTTAAAACAAACTTATTTAAACTGTAGTTTTTATTTTATTAGTGGCGTCAAATTTAAATCACGCACACAAAGAGCCGTTCGTGACCATTGGCAACTTTTAGTGGCAATGTCGAAATAATAATAGAAAGGACATTGCTGCAGGCTGGCGTGTCCTTTGACGCAATAAATAAAGAACTCGCAGCGCTGCATGTGAGGATACAAATGTTGTCCATAGGCGGGACAGTGGATGAGATCACTTGAAATGGAACCTCCGGATTGAAAATTGGAATTCCCATTCGATGGTAACTGCTCCTGCCCACCTAGAGTACACTGAGCTCTCTCCGGGACATCGCACTTTGCAGTCATTGCATTCCAATGTAATTGAGAGCTGCACTCCTGCAATATCGCCTGTCCATAGTAGCAAATGTAATATTTACTGCAACTGCTTGAACTGCCGACATATACAATCCTCTCGCTGGATTGCTGTTCCAGCAAGGTGGAACAATAGGTGCTGGCATCCGTGACCATGTTGTTTAGATCACCATCACCATCGAGTGGAGGAGTCTCCATGGTATCAGTGCCGTTTCTACATTTTACGTTTCCCGCTGCATCACAAAGCCTACTCTCCGAGTTGAATAGCATGGTTGGTGGACAGGAAGCCAGGACTGCATCTCCATTCTCAACGCACAGGTAGAACATATGACAATCCTCGGCATGCTCGACAAACTCACCAACAAGGTGATTGGTACAAAAGCTTCCTCCACTCTGCCTTATGGTCACCGAATTTGTGGGCTTCGATAGTTTCCAGTTTCTCTGAGCTGAGATAAGCACACAGCTTATCATCAAATAAAAAGCTATAAATTAAAAAATCGTTATTATTTGAATACTCTTTCTAAACCATTTCACTTACCCGTATTAAGCATCATCTTTTTTTCTTTCGTCAGACTCCAGTAAAGCGCAGTTTTATTCTAATTTCGTAATGTCCCGAGAACTTGGCATATATGCCATATAAACGGCGCCAAATATCAGCCTCACAGTATCAGAAAATTAACATTTTTCAATTGCTTGTCTATCGAGTTGATAACACCTTTTGTTTTGCCAAAAAGAAAAAAAATATGGCTACCTTTCCTCACAATCAAACGATACGATATCACAAATTTGGCTCTCATCAGATACATCTTTAATGCTAGCTGGATTTTTTTAATTTCAAAACCCAGTGAAAAGGCAGTCCAGAGATTAGCTATTAAAGATTGTGGTTGGCAGTACCAAGAAAATTGATTACCTGATATCGCTCCATACTCTGTTGTCCTTGCAAAGAAAATGGTATCATATCGGTCAATGAGAAACACTTCCCCAACCAGCTAGAAGGTTGCCCTATTTCTGTCAACAATCTTGGCAAATGTTGTTCTTCAAGGCTCCACATTTTGCAAAGATATGAAAGAGTTGCCAAGAGTTGCAAGAAATTTGTGATAAATTTTTAGAAATGATTCAAGGTCGAATATTTTTGTGATAAGTAATGTTAGGAAACAAATATAATTACGTGTTTGGATTTCAATTTCTTTATCAAATTTAAAAAATTTTAACAGACCAAAATCAAAGTCAAATTTATGTTTCTTTTTTTTAGAAAATTCCATTCAGGAATTTCTTAGTTTTTCATATTTTTCATAAAGCAGACTTTTATTTATATTAATATTTACAAAGTGTAAGTAAAACTTTAAAATTTTGTTTAGAATTAATAAAGTTTTTTACCCAATATATGAGTAAATTAAAAATATGATTAGTAAAACTGAAAAGTTTACAAATCCTTCACTTTATCTCCCTCATTTTTTAAACTCCCATTAACAAAACTAGTTTTTAGATATAATTAAACTTGATACATTTTTATTATAATTTCATTTGCATTTGTATTTTGTTATAGCATTTGGCCTGGCTTAGCGCCACACAGGATCGCTTCTCGTAATCCCAGCCATAGAAGAAAGGACACTGCTGGACCAACAAATAACCAGAGCGGCATTGATAGAAGTAATTGCAGTTGTCGGGATGCGGATAAACATCGATCACATGGCGTTTGCACTGCTCTCGAGGATTAGAAGTGATTGCCTGAAAGGAATTTAATATAAAATTATTTGGTACTTTAAGAAAATTCTATAAAAAAAAACCCACCAAACATCTAACATTTTCCGGATGATCACATTTTCCAGTTTGAGTATTAAAATGCAAACTGGCGGCACAGCTCAGAGGCAGAGCCTCGCCGCGATAGCAAATGTAATAATCCGAACAGGAGTTCTGATTTGCCAGCAATGCGATACGACTTTGATTATCCATTTGTGGACATACATTCGTCACAATAGTCTCTATACCAGATGATAAAGGTGGAGTAATGGTACCATTGGTACTGCCATTTTGATTGACTGTTGGACGTAATGTTACAATCACCGATGGAGTCAATGTGGTATTTAAATTAGCAGGAATTGTAGTAGCCGCCACGTCAGTTGATCCCGGGTTAATCTCCGTTGAGCTATCGTCATTATTATTATTATTATTTTCCGTTTGCACCGCCAATCCTGTACGGCAATCAATATCGCCCATGGGCTCACACATTTCCATATCGGAACTAAAGTATTCACCCTCCTCGCATTCACCATCGTATGACTCATCGCCGTTGCAGAAAATATAATGTGCGCAACTCTTTGGCGAGGTAACAAAGGAAAAGCTATTTCCCTCATTACACTCATCGAAAGTATCAGCCAGGCATAGGCCAAATATGAAAAATAACAATCCAAAAACTTGAAACATCTTCTCAGCTTGATTTCAAAAACTTAACTGATCAATTTCATATGCAGACTTTACAGTTTAGAGTCTTTCCATTCTGTTCTTATCAGAAATTAATTTGCCTAAGAACACACTTTGATAATAACTTTATTACAAACTCATCGACAGAATCTTACAAATGTTAACCCGCTGAACGTAATGGTTTTGTGGAAATACACTGTCCTTGAGAGACTTCGAAATGAAAATTCTGTGGGCATTGCTGGAGGAGAAGATAACCGGAGATACATTGATAATAGTAATTGCTATTTGCTGGATACGGATAGACTCCATTCTTGCCACTCGTCTTGCACATCACATGGACATTATTGTCACTTGGAATTGGTGTAGTTGTTGAGGTAATTCCCATAGTTGAAGAAGTTGTAGAAGGTTTTAGAGTTGTGGAGGTTGTATTTGCAGGGAAAGGCGGCTCTTCGGGTTTCGCTTTTTCCGTGGTGGTTTCTATGGGTTTTTTAGTGGTAATCGGTGCAGGAGCTTGGGTTGAAACTCTATCAGTATAACACTCGACTGCCTCACGACAATCCCCATTGCAGTAGTAGGAATCATCACCATCACAGTGAACAAACTCACTGCATTCCTGATTCTCATTGGTCACTTTATTTATGATCACACCCATGCATTCCTCAAGGAAGACCGCCTGAACCTGGTAGCCAGGCAACAGGCAGGCCAAGACTATCAACAATTTCCACATATAATTGGCTTTCAACTGTCTCATCGAACAGATCCAGTGGCTTCTTTATAGCTGGTTCATTTTGCTTGTTCATTGATAAGACTCTAAATTCATTTTATTTTCTAGCTATTAATGATTTTATATGACATGACAAGAGGCTTAATTAAAAGTGATTTCTGCTTTAAGTTCTTTCTGTTTTATTTTTACTTTAAAGTACAATCATTGGAGTTTCTTATGAGACCACCACAAGCTCCAGTTTCCGAATCGAAGGCATAGCCAATAGGACATTGCTCCACCAATAGAAAGCCATCCACGCAGTAGTAGAAATAGTTACAATTCTGTGGATAACTAAACCTTTTGGTTACACCCTGACGGCACTGACGTCTTATATCGGAAGGTGAGGCCGTTGGCGAAGGCGTTGTTGTTGTTGTTGTTGTGGTTATAGCAATTGGTGTTGTTGTAACAGGTGCAGCTGTTGTATTAGTTAATATATCACCACAAGTGTAGTTGACATTACAGGTCCTGTTGTCCAAGCAAAACATCGAATCCTGTCCCGAGCAATTTATATAGGAGTAACTACAATTCGATCGGGTATTGTTAATAAAACCATTTTGATTGCCACATTCGGGTATATTTAATCCATTAATGCCCCAGACAACGAGAATAAGACCGTAGGCGATCCATAGAAGTTCTAAGCGTAGAGATTGCTGCATTCTCGATTATTGTGGAGTTTGGAGAGCGGGGCTAAGCTTTTTATAGGCAAGCGAAATCAAGGTCTTTTCTAATAAGTTATATTTAATTAAACGTCTCATGTTGCCACTATCTTGTAACTTATCAATAAATAGAGCTCTTATCACCTAAAGGTAGACAACTCCAAGAAGCTTAAATGAGTTGTTTTCTCTTTGGAGCTTCCGGTTCTTATAGGCGACGGGAGTTTCCGTAGCATTTCGCCACACTTATCTGAACACAACTCCGGCGTTCTATATCCCAGCCATAGTAGAAGGGACACTGTTGCAGTGTCAGAAAGCCCTTGATGCAGTAATAGAAGTAATTGCAATTGTCCGGATGTGGAAAGAACTCGGTCATGTGTGGCAGGCATTTGTGGGATCTCGGATCTTCTAGCTGCAAAATCAATTTCGTTTTAATTGATAAATTCAAATGCAAATCTTCAAACGTAACTCACCGCACACTGAACTTTCTCGGGGTAATCACATTGGCCGGTTAATGAATTAAAATACAATTGATTAGTACAATGCATTTCCATGGCATGACCATGATAGCATAGATAGTAATTTGTGCATGATTCATTGCTGGCCATTAGAATAACCTGACTGGGATCATCACTGAACGGGCAATTTGGCTTTACCACTGGGGCTATGTTAAGGATATCCACTTCGTTGGTTGGCTCTAGAATTGGTGGATCTGTTGGTTTCGGTGTGGCTGGTATTATTACCTCCTCTTCCTCTTCCGGTTCTGGTTCTGGTTCTGTTGGTTCATCGACTTCGTCCAGAAAACATTGCACATTGGCGGCAACATCACATTCTCCCGTTTCCGCATCGAAATATTCACCATCCCCGCAATCACCTTTCAGGGAATCCTCACCCTGACAATACACATATGACTGACAGCTTTCCCAACTCTGGACAAATGTCTCATCCTCGGCACCATCGCATTCATCAAAGTGATCGGCATTTATTGGCCAACTGGAGAGTAACACCAGGCACAGGTATATCAAATTTTTGAACATTTTATTGGCTTCGTCTTGGAACTTCTACTGAAGGAACTCCATCGTTTTACCATTATATTTATGGACCTATTCCGGTGACTTTTCTCGAAGAAATAACCAAAACGACATGCATTTCTTTTTAGTCTAATTGAATATCATTTTTATCGAAAAGACCTTCGTTTGGAGATAACTTTTAGTCGAGGCTGAGGTTCATTGTATTACAAAATATATTCTGTTCTCCATGAATCACCCAAAGACAGCATTCCTGTTCGGTTTTTTTTCAACTATCTACCATTATGTCATCATCTGGTTGCAGAAACGACATTACAACGGTCGATGGTACCCACTTATTTTGCTGAATATGTTTACACAAGCCGAAAAAAAAAAACTTTAAAATTAATATTCAATATGCTAGCACATACAGAAATATCTATATATACGAGGTGTGTTCAAAAAGTAAGGTGACTTTTCAAATTTCTCGGGCAACATATTTTCGATTATCGATTTTTTTGTTTTGTTATATTGGTACACTCTTCCCTAACATCTGTACCAAGTTTCAATGGAACATCATCTTTTGTTTGGTTGTGAGAGGCGTAGAGTTACAAGTTGTTTTGCGAGCTCGGCGATTTTTTGCTATCGAAAAATATGGATCAAAGGATTTGCATCAAATTTTGTGTAAAAAAAAAAAAATGTATACCCATGATTCGTCACCAGTTATGACCCTTTTGAGTAAATCTGGGTCGTCGTTGACGTCATTCAACAGCTCTTGAGCGATGCTCATGCGACGGTTCTTTTGGTCAAAATTCAGCAATTTCGGAACAAACTTCGCTGACACACGACTCATACCCAAAACGTTTGAAAAAATTTCATGGCACGAGCCAAGCGATATACCGACATCTTCAGCAACTTCTCTGATAGTGATTCGACGATTTTCCAAAACAATTTTCGTCACTGCTTGAACGTTTTCATCAGTTGTTGACGTGCTTGGGCGTCCAGAGCGAGGCTGGTCATTGGCATCTTCCCGGCCATCTTGGAAGAGTTTGTACCACTTGTACACATTTTTTTTACTCAGAACAGTTTCACCGTATGCCACTGTCAACATTTCAAGTGTTTCAGAGCACTTAATTTTATTTTTTACACAAAATTTGATGCAAATCCTTTGATCCATATTTTTCGATAGCAAAAAATCGCCGAGCTCGCAAAACAACTTGTAACTCTACGCCTCTCACAACCAAACAAAAGATGATGTTCCATTGAAACTTGGTACAGATGTTAGGGAAGAGTGTACCAATATAACAAAACAAAAAAATCGATAATCGAAAATATGTTGCCCGAGAAATTTGAAAAGTCACCTTACTTTTTGAACACACCTCGTATACACACACACCGGGCAACAGACAAAAAGTGTTAAAAAAGCGTGAAAAAGACAACGCAACAGAAATCATTGACCTCAACAAACGCCGCATTGGCCGTATTTTGTTTATGGATAGTTAAACGACCAGAAAATTACGTTGGTTAAAACGTAGCGACTGAAGTTTACTCTTCTTTATTGGTAAGTCAAAAGTTACTGTCTTTATCGGGCTATGTTTTGATAGGAAATTATCACTCAGCAGTTTCCAAAAAAAACAGGGTGCCTTTTAAACTATCTTCAGATCATATATAAATTTTGTATAAATTTATTAGATCTAACAGAAAAGTTACTTAAATTTTGACAGAAGATAAGATTTTTCAACAGATCTTAGAACCTTTTTTTGATTTATCAGAATTTTGAGTTCTTTAATGTCCAGTATACATTAGTGTAGATTTTAGACTTAAGATAGTTTCCTTACTTACTACTTATTATGATCACTAAACAGGAGATAGCTTAAAGTACTAAAACCTAGCATGAGTTTGTGATTTATATATCATATCTTCATCTCATAAACATTATTTAGCATTTTGTTTACTGTTAGCAGAGAAATAAATTATTTAAATTTATTTATTCCCCTGATAATTCGGTTGATGAAGTGTAGCCAATCTTCGATCTGGCATTTCTCTTCAGCTCCTCTACCTATTTTGTTTTTTTTTTTTGTTATGATATAAATCACACAAACCTGCGATTTGCCCGAGGTATATTTCTTCTTCTATATTCCCATTCCTTAATATTATTTGCAAAATCATGCCGGACGGACTGAGGGACAGACGGACGGGGACCCATTGAGTGGATCGATCGGACGGGAGAATTTGCACAAAATCTAATTTATTGTCAAGCATTTCCAGTGACGATAAGACAGAAATAAGCTTCACTGGTCTATGCTAGTTCTGGCTAACTTTATCGTGCACACCTGTAAGAGAGTAAAGAAAATGAAAAAATAAATAAAATTAAAAATATAAATAAAATCAACAAGAAGAGCAGCAGGCTGGCAGGCAGGCAGGCAGGTAGTAAGAGCTGAAGTTCTTTATGAAATTGTTTAAACAAGTGCAAACGTAACCAATCTTTTGTTGTTGTACACAGTATATATATATATATATATTATAGCCCATTTTTATTTATGGGCGATATTTGCTTTAAATGCAATTGACAGATGGACAGAACGGATGACGGGAAACATCGATCGAGCTGGAACAAAAGAGTGCTCAATGCGCTGACGATATGTGGATTCAGTTGTAACGACAACGACGGCAAAATGTCTGCTGCGTTGCGTATGTTTACACGACAAAATAATATATATACATACACCCCCTCGCCATACCCCTCTCATCAGATCTTGGAATTGTATATTTAATTTACAATCCACATGTACATTTATTGACAATCGTGTGTTAATATCATTCGCCACCGTTTAAAGATACTTTTTCATTTTGGGGGAGGTGGAGGCCAAAACAAGTGGCTCAAAATATGATGATGACACGATCGTCCTGAGGGACGACAACAATGAGATCATTTATTATTTTTAGACAAAAAAAAAAGGTAAATGCGTATCGTATCTGTAGAAGACAGGTACGATACAAAGATACAAACTTCGCCGTGTGATCTTCAAGTCTGCTTTTGACAAAGTGATAATGATGAAACTAGGTCAGAACGCATTATTTTTGCTGTCGCTTTCAGCCGGAATAGTTCTTCTTTAGTATTAAATAGTATGAAAAGTACAAAAGAAAACTGGAAGCTGACTAAGTGTGGAATGTCTTTAGCAATTAACAAGAAGAGAGCGTGAGATCAATGTCCTGCTAAATCGTTTACTTTATAGCTTGTACCTCTATTCATCATCATCATTTATTGAGATACCCCTAAACACGAGCACATATTTTTAGATGGCACATGGCATATGTTATGTTATGCATTTTCCTAGTACTTTTCCGAGGAACACACACAAAAGCCACAGGCACAGCTGCTTTTTCATACTTTTGGCTAATAATAGCATATCATTAAACAAGAGAATTTTGTTTAATGTACGGAATATACATACATATATAAAACTTATCAACTTGAATGCGAAATGAGTTTTTAAAAATAAATGTCATGCGTTTGCTGTGGATATCTTTTTCAATATATTAAATCGTACTAATGCGTACTTATGCTTAAGAGCGAAAGAGAGTGAACCTTCAAGTGAAATTTATGCTAAAAATAATTAGCGATAAGAAAATAATGTGACCCGCTGGGAAAGAGGCAAGAGACCATAACAGTTGATAGGGAATAGTGACTCATGTTACCAACACGATAAGCCCGTCCTTTGTGTCCTGCCAGGGAAAATCCTTATCTACAAATTATACAAAGAAAAACGAATAATTAGAAACTAGCATTCTCAGTTTTAGATAGCATTCAAGTTTTTCTTTAAGTTGAAATCTTTTATGACTTTACAATTTTGAAAAACATGTTGGGAAATATTTATGGGCAAAACTAAGAATGATAACAGGAATCCGCAATAACAAAAATTCATTCATAGAGAGGGAAGTTATTAAATTATCAAAGCCAACGGCATGACAGCGTCAGAATCTAATCAGAAGTTTCGGGGCATAACGTTAAATTATATTTTAAAAGAAATCTCGAGTGCAGATTAAAATATTACTGCAGATAAACAGGAAAAGCTGACGGAGTGGGTTTAGAATAACAAACTAACAGACTAACAGACACCTACCATCTAACATCCGTCTTTCATCTCCCAACGCCAACTGAAAAATGTATCTTTATTTTTCCAGTGAACACTCAGCCTAACTCACACCCATATAACTGTGATTCACAAATCAAATAAAATATATATAATATTAAAAGAGAAAAAAAGGCAAATATACGCTTAAGCGTTGTTGTCGGTGGCGAAAAATATTTGTGCCAGCCATAAGACACAATATATCTCTTTCTCTATATACTATATAACTGTAAAAACCACTTGAACAGAGTGCTCGATCGTATCCGTCAAGAGAAAACTGAAAGAGAGGCGTTGGCCCGTACATTCAAGTTAAGAGAATCACTGAGTATTGTATTATTTGTGCCTCGCAAATTAGGGGCGGTGTGTTGGGGTATGAAAAATATTGGGAATGGCCCGGCTTGGCTCGGCTTTACCCGCCGGCAGCGACCAGGGACCAGAGACCAGAGACGCAGACTGCGGCAGCGAGCTATGCGGGTTCAAATGCGGCCAGCATGACGAATTATTACACACAGTCTCGCGACTGGCAAATGAAATTTAATGTACACTGTGTAAAAAAAACAAATTACCATTAAAAGGAAATGGTTTGTAAGAAGCAAAATATTTTGAAAAGAAAATTCGTGTTAAAATTATATATTTGGTAAATGTTTATTTTACAAAGTTTAAAATATGTTAATAATATTCTTAGTTTCCTATAAAAGTGATCAAAATAAGATCGAGTTTAAATGCTAACTACTCATTGACGTCATATTTAGGATCGTAGGTGATCGGAATGTCTTAACAACTTTCAAGAATTTTTGTTAGAATTAGGATTTGTAAGTTAATGTGATGTTGATATCTTAAATCATAGAATTAATTATAAATATACATTAGTTTCTTGCCATGTATAAAAATATCTATAAATTGATATAAGATTGGGTAATTTGGGGATATTTCTTTCAGTGTAACATACAAAACACTCACACACTTAGTCGATTCATGTGGCTGTTTATACACTCACAATGCACATTGATGATGTTGTTGATGGGATTGCGATTCAAGTATGTGCGAGTATACACATAAAATATTAAAAACAAGAAGGGAAAGGCTACCCTTGCGAATTTACCATAAACCGCTCAAATTGACACCGAGAGTCAAGCGAAGTGTTGCCATGGAATCGATCAAGTTTGACAAGTTGATCATCTTAACCTTTTTTTTTTCCCCAATTAGAAAGTGTAACGAAATGTTTTTTGGTAAATGCGAACAAAACGATTTTCTTCATTGGATAAAGCGAACAAAAATAACTACGTCATAATTCAGAGAAATTCTCAATGTTGATCAAATTGAGTAGAGAAATCAATGTACCTTCATTTCGAAGGGCATCCATATGAACTGATCCCTCTCAGTGGCGTCTTGTTGGCCCAGCAGCTATCATAGCTCATTGATCTGGGGAGTCTCGGGAGCTCGTTGTCTATGGGGATTTTCAATGCGATAATCAAGCGAACCCGTTTCGATTTACTATGTAAGCCATATTGGGGATTTTCAAATCATTTTTTGTTTTTTTGTTTTTTTTTATAATGAATACAATAAAATCACGGCAACAAATAAGAAATTAGTGGCCGAAAGCTGTGTGTATATTTCTGTGGGGATAGAGATACATCACATGCACAGTGCCATGGAAATATAGAGTCATAGAGCTATGCCTCTCCATATGTATTACACAAGCGTTTTTGTGAAAACATCGCCGTTGTCATCGTCGTCTGCGCTGTATCTGTTGCCCGGGCAGCTTTAAACCGGATCTTTGGTTTGAAAGTACATTCACTTTACGCCGTCGACGCTGACGTTGCTGCGTTGCAGCAGCAGCCAGCCAGCAGCAGCAAAAGTCCAGGCCCCAAAGATCCCATATCCATGCCCCCAAGATTCAAGCAAAACTCCAAACTCCGGCCAAACAGCCTTCAAATGACAGAGCAAAACGACTTGGCTTAGGAGCTCTCGGTATGGTCTGCACATGTGCATAGTTCAAATAACTTGGTCAAGTTGACAAGATCAACGGAGCGAGTGTTACCAAGCGGCAGCAATCGAAGTCTCGCGGGTCTGGTTGCAGAGCAGGGGATTCCCCTCCCCTCTGCCCGTGGATATCCCCTCCAGCCAGCTACCAATCGGGCCAAATCAAATACTCGTACTCGTAGCAACAACAAAAAATCTATAATAAAATAAGAAAAAAAACAGGTTAACAAATGTTGCCGCAACGTTGACGTCGTCGACGCAGCTCAGAGCGTCGGAAGAAACTTGTTTTCCTTTCCTATGTGCGCGGCTCCGGGTCTCAAATCTCAAAATCTCTGGTCTCCGGTCTCCGGACACAAGACCGACGTCAATGCCGGCTTACGACAATCAACTTACATTCACTTCTCAAAGCCCCGAAGAGCGTGAAAGTTTCACTAAGAGCACGGTTTTTTTTTGGGAGAGAGTCGGATACCATCCAAAAGTCAAAGCCGGCTGCCCGCATGTTACACAGTATCGAAGGGTAGATTTGTGGTCAAGAACTATGGGAATATGCCGATTATAAGGATTCACTTACAACAACCCCAAAACATTACCAATAACATTAATTAAAGAACAAGGTAGGCGATTAGAGTTTCAAAACAAGAACCCCAAATTTCTATAAAATTGTATAGAGGAATTAATCAATAAATTTTTATTACAATAATAATACTTACATACTGTATAGCAAACCGAAGAATTTCATTATTTGACATTGGATTTCAATATGAAAAAGTTTTGGCTTAGAACTAGTTATTCAGAAATTAAGAACTCTATTTTATAAAACTGGAAAAACAGCAAAGTCGAAAGATAAGATCGAAAGGTTTTTGGTTTTGATTATCGATATGTTTCAAAATTGAAACATACATATACACACAGGGAGTATCACTTGTTCGAGCTTTTCCCTTTGGAATTCTGACCACAATTGCCGGCATTGTAAATGCAGAGAGTATCAGTGAGAGAGAGAGAAAGACCAAGAGAGAGTAACAAAGATAGGCAGAGGGAGAGGGCTATCTATATGTATGACAGAGTGAGACGGAGTGGCACAGAGAGAAAGAGAAAAAACGGCAAGCAGCGACGCCGGCAGAGGGCTGACGTTTCGATTCGTTCGTTCGCATTCACAAGAATTTCACCGACATTTAGTTTAGTACCGTTTTTGGCTGCAGTCGCACTACGGACAGTTTATTCTAATTGTGTGCTACCATCCCATACAAATACATCCAAGCATACAAATATTATTGCTAAAGTTAACGATATTAACTACACATATTAAATGCTATTATACACGGGCCGAGCAAAGCCATTTTAAAAGCAGTTTAATACTGGCCTCCATCTACACACAAAACACATCAAAAATAAAAAAATTCAATTATATCAATTGAAATCGTAATCAAGTCCAAAATCACACAGCAAAAGGAAAAATCAAATATAAAAAAAAAACTAAATTATATGATTATCAACAGCAACGTTTGAAATCCACAAATATAATATAATTATAAACTATTTTCTATGAAAATCGAGTGTTTCGTTTCCGAATCGGGAAGAAAAAAGTTAATAATTCAATTAATGTTAACGCCAAATATAATCCGACAAGAAAAAGCGCATGCAACAAGTTAAATTCCAGCCGACATTTGTAAACCAAGTTAGATCCGTACACAGATACACCCTAACATACACACACACATATACACAAATGAATGCCCGGTAAACGCATACAAACGTAAAAATCACACACACAAAAACACACACACACGTAGACTATAACAATGTCAAGTGAAAACATTCTCTGGAAGCAACAGGTTTCCCCTTAATAAGTGTTATAAAGAAGCAACCCAACAGTCATCACCCAGAACTGTTCGTTTTGAAAGAAAGAAAGAAAAAAAAAACACCACACACAAAAAATTCAAGAGAGAGGTATAGAAAGAGAGTCCGAGGTATAAAGAAGATATAAAAAAAAAGAAAGAGCAAAAGAAAGAGTCAGAGTAAAAATCATAAAGAAAATAATAGTATAATACTATACACTTAAACAAAAAGACAGTTTCTAAGTGGGTTAAACTAGAGAAAAACAAAAACAACAACAACAACAAATTAGTGTGACTGCAACCGAGTGGAACCGAATCAAACCAAAACTAACTAACTAAAATCCCAAACCAACCCCAAAACCGAACCGCAAGATCAACTAAGAGAGTTCTTTGGAGCGCAGCAACCTCAAAGAACCATGGAATTCTACGATGGCGACCTCAAAGATATATGGGACTCCGACTTAGATCCGGTAAGTGTTTAAATTACCACTCGAAAGGCAAAAAGAAAAAAAAACAGCAACTTGTATTAGTACATTTTATATCAGGCAACAGAACTATTGATACTTGAGAGCTTTTATTACAGCAGGGGTACACCTTATGCTTGATATGGGGGTCTGGCTATATGTGAAAGTTAAAGCCGACGACAACTTGAACGAAACGATAAGAAAAAATATACCAAGATATAGGCTAGCTCTCCAAATGTTATAACACTTATAATATATGTACGGGGGAAATCTGTCCGAACTAATGTTAGGCAATTCGACAAGACTTGAACTGTGATCTTTAACCAGCGACATCTTTAAAAAAAAAAAACCACACGATTATTAAGTCATTTCGGTTATACATTTTAAACATGTAAGACTCGTGCGCTTCCACGAAACGAAATTGCATTTAAAAAAGTCTCAAGAAAAAAACATTTTAATGACCCACATTAAGAGCTTATCAGTTTGGGGGAGAAAAACGTGAACTTATTCATGAGCTGAATTCTAAGTATGATGATCGATTTGAGTAAGAAGGAGAAAAATAATAGAAACAAAATAAAACCTCTCTAAAGGGTCCCACGGACATTTTAGCCTGTTTTCTTTTTCTTTCTCTGCATATTAAGTAGTTTGCATTTACGAGTCTACAAGTCTATGTATATATGCGATCACCTGAGAGAATGCCGATCACTAACAAACTGGCCTACGATCAAACCTGTCCCAAGCAAGCAACCTCATAAAAATGTCCGCTCACTCTGAACCCCCCCAAAAAAAATACAAGAAAAAAAACTCAAAAACTGTTTTAGGTGAAAAAGAAACCAAAATCTAATCGAATTGCCTGCCGGCCCGGCTACCAGACATCAGACACCCCGTAATATACAGCACACCCAGAATCATAGTTTTTATTTTTCATATAGAGAGGACGACGACGACGACGACGACGTTCTTTTGAGTGCGCCGAGCCCAATGGCATTACCCAACAGAAAATACTTTGCCAAATAGATATGATATGACAGAATCGAAACAAACCTATATAGAAAAAGGCAATTCTCAAGGCCTTTATCTTGGCTGGCAGGCGTTCTCGTTTCGGGGAAGAAAATCACAATTTTTTTTTAGTGAGTTTTTGTGTTCGAATATATCAATTTACATGGTTAGTGATAAGAGGGGACTACATATATCTATCTCGGCAAGTCAGGAAACATTTCTGTTCATAACTTAGAAGTTTCGCTGTTCTACAAAGTTGTTTGGCGATAATGATAATTGGAGTTTTCCAAGAAATTAAAAAGAAATTTATCATTAGCGAACGATTTCTAGTTTCTGGTTGTTTTCACTCTTCACTCTTCCTTATCACCCCTTGGAACTTCTAACACTTAAACATACATACATATATATGATATATATGACAATCGTGAAATGTTTCAAAATAATGAAATGAGTGGTGAGAGTACGCGCTGGCTGAGCTTCATTTGCGGAGTACTCATAGATGTTGATGCCCGTCGTCTATTGCTTATCGCTGCGGAAACAGTAATGAATACATGTCGTCCGCCCGTCCATCCAGTCCGTAGTCCCTCTGTCCGTCCATTTAACTTGTTCTTGCTGTTGTACACAGAGAAAAAATACAGATCTGTATCTGAATAATATAGTAGATTTTTAGCATTAATTACATCATGTAGATGATAATGACTTAATAAGGTTTAAAGTACTTTAAAGTACAAAGTACTAAAGGTCGCTGTGCAAAACCCACTGGTCTTCTATTAATTTTTTATAATTTCTTAGATTTTTTAGGGATATTAGTTTATAACCAAAAGAGATTCTAAAACTTATTCCCATTAAATTATGTTAAATCAGCTATAAACCATCGGTTTGAATAATTTTAAAAATATTTTACAATAAAAAATCAAGATGCTTATCAAAATATTTGTCATATTTTCATTCACAAAAGGTCCAAGTTCACTTTTTATTTTTCCCAATTTAATATAAACTTAAGTTGATGATCTAAGAATTTAATTTCTGTGTAGAGGAAGCTCTGCTGGTCGAGCAGTACACAAGAAAAGAATCTATTATGGCATGGAAGGAGGCAGACGAGGAGGAGCAGGCATGTGGAGTTGATAAGAGCTTACTATCAGCTGGTCTAAATGCAAAGTAATGACTTTTTTTTTTTTTCGCCTGCCGCTGCACTTTGCAGCTAGTCAAATAGTCAAATAGAGTATGGCCCGTCAGTGTCATTACTATTAGGAGATAATAATGCACGACGGCGACTATACACTCGACCGACTCCTAGAAACAATGTAGATGAAGGGGCCAGAAATAGGCCCAATGCCCGGGAAAATGCACGCGTGCATAGGTTTTCTATTGGTTTTTGTTTTTGGCATTACGTTTTGTTGTTGTATTTTCCCGCCGTAAGCGGTACAATGTACCCGTACCCCGGGGCGTGCGCTAAATTACCTCATAAGTATCTCAAATGCCTGTGTGTGCCCATAACAAGAAATTATCGGTTGGTTGAATGGCAAAGTCGCCTCTTCTATACCCTTCAAATACCTAAGATCAAGATCAGGTTAAGATATCTAACAGGGTTAGATAACGAAATTCCCTTGAAATATAAACCTTTTCAGTTTTCTATTTTGGCATTATTTTTATTAATATAAACTATCATTCTAAAGTCTCTTCAGCGGCATATCAACAATCTTATCTCAAAGTATTTTGTAACCAAAAAATAAAGCTAGAAAAAAAAAAAGTAGACTTGGGTCCAGATAAGGCCTGAAATGCCCAATTTTGATTAGCTTAGCGAGCCATTTTCCACTCGAGTAAAAGAAAAAATAAAAACTAAAATAATAAATAATAATTATGATGCGATTGGGGATTTTTTCTTGAAGAAAACAAAACAAAAAAAAAAACTAAAAATAATAGCGCTTGACGTGTGCCGATAATCAATTTTTATTAAATTGGGAAGTTGATTTTTAATAAGGGTAACGGAATTTGGAAAGTCCCAATAGGGGTTAGCAGGTCTGCGATAACGTCACGTGCTCTGCATTTCCGAGATTCCGATCATTTGCTATCAACTAATCCCCTCCCGCCTACCTTATTTTCATTCACAGTCACAGAGATCTTTGAGTGGTTCCCCTTGGCTCTATCAGTTGAGAGCAATGAAGAGTTGACACAGCTATACATACTATATATTCCCATGATCAGGGGGGAATTCTGTGAAAATTGCTTGGGGGAAAAACCAGCAAAACTACAAAACAGATCAATAATAATAATTGACTTGTTACTTTTTCTTAAGAATACGATTTATGAAGCGTAAAAACAGTTTCCATTGCAAATATATATATCAAAGTTTCAGCTTAAACGACTTTCGATTCTAGTGCTGGTCTGGTCCAGCCTTGATAAGAAAATACATCATAAAATTGTTTCTGCTGAAAGCTAAAATTACTGCTGAAATTTTCACATTTCATTGATAAGAGGCACATGGAAACAGAGTTCATCATCAAGCGGACCTAAAGCTGAGCTTATCTTTTGGGAATAGCTAAGTAGATTTGAAATAATTATAGAAATTATACATATATAGAAAGGGTTGTGTGTTTTTGAAAAGAAAACGAAAACTAGAAATTGAAAAAAACTAAGCTTCTTGGTAAACTTAAAATCTTCAAGATCGTTGCACGATCTTACCTCGAAAAAAGAGAGAAACAGCCAACTGCCGGAAGAGTTTACCTTGGGCTTAAACAAAATAAACTGCATTTGCCTTCACAGAAGAATGCTGACCAAAGTCAAAAAAAAACCCGGCGACTTTTCTACCATTTTTTTTTAAATTGGCTATAAGCATGGCTAAAAGCAGAAGAAAGAGAGAGCGGAAAGAGAGACAGGTTTAGGGGAAAATTGCAGCATTAACAAGAAGCCAGCAAGAAGTCAGCAAGTTTTCACCACTTCCATTGAGATATATAACCAACCAATATAGAAATATATATATATATCTATATCTTTGACATTTCTAGAGCTGTTCTTTTGTGGGTTAACTTTCGCTTATATAAGCAGAATATGGGCGTGTTTAATGATATTAGCCATTTCTTTTCGACCAATTCGTTACCCTATATGGTTAATATAGCCTGTTGCCTCAATGAATGCAAATTGAGGTTTAGTCTAAAGCTTTTCTAACGGCCAAATGCAAGGCCCGCTATTTAAAATGCACACGAGAATGTATACAACTTCCAAACAGGCGACAAGAAACGGAAAAACAGAAAACAGAAAAAACAGAAAAAAAACAGAAAAACGTGCTTGGCAACAGACTTTATAGCTTGGCTATCTCGAGAGCTAAAAGTCTTGACTCTCGAGAGCATATTTGAATAACTAGTTCAAGCTATGCACGATACTTTCAATATGGTCTATCAATGTAGATATATATCTCAGCTATATATATAGTAAAACCATTGTATTGGTGGATTATATTGCTTAACTTTGACATTTCCAATGAGCCAAAGCGTTGCAATCTGCAAAACAGGTTAAAGCACAAAGCGACTGCAAAGAAACCCAGCGACTATTGCAAATTTAGCCCGCTCCAGCGACACAATTTCTATGCCAAAAGTCCAAACATATGGCAAAGCCAAAGAAAAAAAAAACGAAAAGCGCGCATAATTAAATTTGTGCCCCCACATAGTATTGGTTTACATGTGCGCCAGTCTCGCTGGCTCCTCTCTCTTTAGATATATCTATATATATATATATAGTTTCCCATTCATGTCGGCCATTCATGCGGATTTACACGCGCTGCGCACTGCAGGATGCGCAGTTAAAGTCCACACAGAAAACCCTCTCTTAACTTACTCTTTTTGGCCAGATTTTTTTTGGTTTTTAATAGTAGCCAGCTAGCTTCTCTTTGGCCAAAAGAGTGGGCGGCCATTTGGCCAGCTGTTTGCGTTTTGTTTTTGACGTCAATGTCAGGACGTTCGAAGGAGTTGTTGTGGCCATAAGACTGAACCAGTGTGAATTATTCATGGACC